AAAATAGAACTTGCGGCTGTTTGGTCTCATTCTCCTTTTTCTAAACCACAACCACCCACCTCCCCTTCCAGGATTATTTTGAAATAAATTATAATGACTTATGTTTAATTGGTAAAATAAAATAAGGTATTTTACAATTATTTGGTTTGTCGTTCCATTTCCATTTCTGTCTTTAAAAGCTATTTAAGAACATATTTTCTGACTCATAGTGAATTTTTTTTTAAAGATTTTATTTATTTATACAAGCACTGGGTACAATCAGAAGCATGGGAGGGTGAGAGAATTCGCCAGAGTCAGAGCGGGGAACTGAACAGGCAGATTGTGAGGGGAGCAGTGGGCGCAGCAGGAGAGGTCTGCGTGCCATGTGGGACCCTCACCAGAGGCCGGTGATGGAACTGGTGAACCGGTGCTGCAGAGGCTGCAAGTAGCTTTGCAGCCCAGCACTCAACAACTGCACCACTGGGGAGGCTCCTGTAGCATAGTGAATTTTTATAGGTTGTGTTTTTTAGACTGTCTTTCATCTTATTTCATTTTTAGATATTTTAAGTTCCTCAGTTTTTCCAATTTGGGTTTACTCTTGTTTCTCCAAACATGTATTTTGGGGACTCGTACATCAATGAAGACTCTATGTACATTTCAGTTCTAGTCACTTCAGTGCTTATGTAATAGAGTTTAATACTTTCTGGCTTATGTCTGTGTGTCTCCCTGGTTTGTCCTCCAAATCCAATTTTCTAGTTACATCTGCAAATGCAGTTCCTTATGCTAGCATTTTCACTGTGGTCTTTGTGTTCTCTTGATGTGATTTCCTCAGAAAACATTAGTATAGACTTTAATGTACACTCTGTATCAATGATTCTCAAATGGGATTAGCTTTTAAAGCTCTGTGGAAGTCAAGAAATAGAATCGCATGATGTATGGATTTACTTCAATTCTGTAAACAAGTTGTAATATTTTTTCAAAATCAAGACATCAGTGTTTGTTTCCTATCTTACTTCAAGAATGGAGAGTCCTTTTTTTATTTTTTTTATTTTTTTTTAAATAATAAATTTTATTGTTATATTCCCCATACAATTGCAGCCCCCCCATTCTGACCCCAATCCCTCCCCTCCCGCCCCTGCCCCCCTAAAAGTGTCTCTGGTTCATAGTTTTTTGTTGATTTTGATTTTCACTTTCTTATAGTTATTCATTTTCCTGGTCCCTTATTTAAGTTTTCTAGATTCCTGTTATGAGTGAGACCATCCGGTATTTTTCTTTTTCTTTTTGGCTTATTTCGCTGAGCATGATCCCTTCCAGCACCATCCATGTTGCTGCAAATTGCATGTGTTTATCTTTTTTGATTGCTGAGTAATATTCCATGGTATATATATGTACCACATCTTCTTGATCCAGTCATCTATTTTTGGGCATTTGGGTTGTTTCCAAAGCTTAGCTATTGTAAACAGTGCTGCTGTAAACATAGGGGTGCAGGTGTTCTTTGGAATTGATGTTTCTGTGTCTTTTGGGTAAATACCTAGGAGTGGAATTGCTGGATCATATGGAAGTTCTATGTTTAGTAGGTCCAGAAATCTCCACACAGCTTTCCATAGTGGTTGGACCAGTTTGCACTCCCACCAACAGTGCAGAAGAGTTCCTTTTTCTCCACACCCTCGCCAACATTTGTTGTTGCTAGTTTTTTTAATATGTGCCATTCTCACTGGTGTAAGATGGTATCTCATGGTAGTTTTGATTTGCATTTCCCTGATGACAAGTGATGTTGAACATTTTTTCATATGCCTGTTGGCCATTTGCATTTCCTCTTCCGAGAAGTTTCTTTTTAGCTCTTCTGCCCATTTTTTGACTGGAGAGAGTCCTTTTTTTTAAACAAAACGTTAAGGATCTTTATTTAAACAATTGTAATTGCACTTATTCTTTTTTTTTTTTTTAAGATTTATTTATTTATTTATTTATACAAGCACTGGGTACAGTTAGAAGCACGGGAGGGTGAGAGAATTCACCAGAGCCAGAGCAGGGAGCAGAACAGGCAGAAGGACCGAAGTACACTGCTGAGGGGAGCAGCGGGCGGCAGAAGAGGTCCGCGCGCCATTTGGGACCCTCTCCCAGCAGCCAGGGATCAAACTGGTGCTGCAGAGGCAGCGGGAAGCTTCACAGCCCAGTGCTCAACCGCTGTGCCACTGGGAGGCCCTGCACTTATTCTTTCTCAGTATAAAGAATGCATAATTTTGCCATCAGAAAACATCAATTTTCTCATAATGCTAACTTCTGCATTCCAACATGAAAGTGAAATTGCAGATGATTTGTAAAAGATAATATGTCCATCCCTTAGTAATCTTTGATTACGTGTGCATTTGTATTTGCCATCTGTTACATGAGTTGGAAGATAAGAATGGCAATAACACTTGCAGGGCATGTTCAGAGGAGGAATACTCCAAAGACTTGTTTTCCATGAACTGATTTTTTCCTCTGCTAATTAGGTTTCTTTCTTTCTTTTTTTTTTTTTAAATAGAGGCATGTTTTTATTTATTTATTTGTTTGTTTGCTTGTTTATACATGCACTGGGTACAGTCAGAAGCGCAGGAGGGCGAGAGAATTCACTAGAGCCAGAGCGGGAAGCAGAGCAGGCAGAAGGACCGAAGTACACTGCTGAGGGGAGCAGCGGGCGGCAGGAGAGGTCTGCACGCCATGTGGGACCCTCCTCCAGTGGCCAGGGAGCAGCCGGGGATCGAACCGGCGCCGCAGAGGCCGCGGGCAGCCTCGCAACCCAGCGCTCAACCGCTGCGCCACCGGGGAGGCCCTCTCTGCTAATTAGGAAATGACCTCCAATATTTTATTTTAGTAGTGGATCTTGATCTACCCTGAAAAACACCAGTGTTCTAGAGGTGATCTGCTATGCAGTAAACGGATCACTTGACTAATAATACTGTGTTCACTGACTCAGAGGTGATTCTTAGTTTTCTGTCATCAGCTGTCAAGATAGGAGTCAAGATAAGGAGTCATGATCTCCCATTAAATAAGTACTGATACAATGTATTTATAACAAATAAGTAAAGTGCTTATCACAATACCTGGTAAACTGAAAGAACTACTGAACAGTGAACTCTATTATTCAATCGTTACAGTTATCTGCATTTCTTCAGTCACTTGGTAATATAATGTGACTGGAGTCACTTCTCCAGCTTCTCCTGACTCCAGAATAGTGACTCACCCAAAGTTGCAAGGTTGCCTCTGCCCTTCTTTCTAGATAGAGAGATGGAGAGAGAGAGATATAGTATTCCTCTCAGGTTTCACATATTCTCATGCCATGTAAGAAGCTGTTGAAGGAACTGGAGATGGTTAACCTGAATGAGAGAGGAGGACATGGAACTTAGAGATAGGGCTGCTGGGAGGCTGAGGCCCTGAGCAATTTCTGGGTCAATTATTCTTCCACCTTTTGTGGTCACAAAAGTACTATGTAACTCTGGTGCAAGCCCTTCTTGAGGTGTCATAGACCTCTCAAAGGCCTTCCATGGATGGGAAGGCTTCCCATCACAGAGCCTTTCTTTGGCAGGCAAAACTAGGTTGGGGAGGGAGAGATGTTAATAGGGCAGGGAAACCAGTGTGGACTCCAATATATGAGATAAATTTTTAAAAGAATTAGTTTTCTAACTTTGCTGGATTTTTGAATCACTTAGGTGCTCTTAAAATCCTCATGGCCTAGGGGCCTCCCTGGTGGTGCAAGGGGTTACACACAGCACTGTGAAGCTATCCGCAGCCTCTCAACACGAGTTCGATCCCCAGCCAGCCAGGGATCTACCCACATGGTGCAACAAACCTCTCCTGTCTCACCCGCTGCTCCCCTCAGCAGTATATTTCAGTCAGTCTGCCTGTTCTATTCCCCACTCTGTCTCTGCTGAATCATCTCACCCCCTGTACCCCAGCTTTTGTATGCATAAATAAATCTTTTTTTTTAAAAAAAAAAGATAGACATGGTAGTTACCATTTTAAAAACTACACTAAATAGGTTTTAGTATGTTTACAGTGTTGTGCAAACATCGCTACTAATCCTAGAATATTTTCATCACACCAAAGAGAAACCCCTCTCTCCAAAGTTCCCCTCCCTCTCCTACCTGTTAGCAAGCTTAATTTTGTTGCCTTTAATGGATTTACCTTTTCTGGCTATTCCACACTTTATGTGACTCTTTGTGCTTAACTTCTTTCACTTGCCATGTTTTTAAGGTCTATCCATGTTGAAGCATGTATCAGCATGTCATTGCTTTTTATGGCCAAATGATATTCCACTGTGTGGATATATGTTTAACCATTGATTGACATTTGAGTTGTTTCTACTTAATATTTATTACAAATAATATTTATTACAAATAATACTATTAACATTCATGTTCCCGTTTTTGTTTGAACACCTGTTTTCAGTTCTCTTGGAGTGAAATTACTGGCTTATATGATAATTGTATGTTCTGCTCTTTGGGGAATCACTAAACTGATTTCCAGTATGACTATACCATATGTGAGGGTTCTAATTTCCCCATATCCTTGCCAACACTTGTTACTTTCATTTGTGTGTGTGCGTGTAAACTAGTCTTTGTGTTGGGGGATATAAGGATAGAAGCATGGGAAGGGGAATGACTGATTGACTTAACCTAGACCACCTACCTCACCAGCTTCCTCAGCAGCCTTCGGATGCCCATGTATATATCAAGAGTTGTTGAGAGGATGAAGAGGAGAGCAAGCAGGCTGAGTGTGTAAGGCACACATACTCACAGTAGTTCTCCTGATACTAGCAGTGTCATTTGGATGCTTGTGGAGTGGAGGGTTGGGATACTTCAACCTACATTCCATACCCCCCTCCACACCCCATCACAGGGGAGAGAGCCTGTACCAGCATCCTCCTGTCCTCTTCACTCCCACCTTTGGTCTTGAATTAAATCTATTTGTCTTTAATTAATTTAGCCTAATCTTTTGTAATGTCAATTGTTAGTAACAGATAATTTTGTATTTCTTTTCAGTCTATTCCTGAATGTAATTGGAAGATATTTCACCTGAATTACTGAATTGCTTTTCTTTAAAAAAGAATCAATATTAATAATTACATCAATCCACTATTCAAACTACTGGAGGAAGATGTTAAAAACTTTAAGCACCCATCACAGTAATGGATGTCTATCAGGAAAATGACACTAAGTCAGAAAATAGTGAAAATAATGAAATTCAAAGCACAGAAGAAACTGAAGTAAGCCATACTTGTTCAGATGAAAGAGAAGAAAAGAATCATGTTTGTTGTCTTCTTAGTATCAGTGACATTACACTGGAACAAGATGAAAAAGCCAATGAGTTTATTATCGGGACTGGATGGGAAGAAGCAGTGAGTATCTCATCTTGAGTTTGACTTATTGCATGTCAGCTTTCCCCCTCCTCCAAAAACAGCTTCTATTTCCCGAAAAAAATGGGTAAACAATGACATATAGAAACCTTGAATCAGAGGGAAAATATTAATGATTAAAAGCAGTACCTTTTATTGAGTGTTTATGTCCACTTTAGTGTAGCAAGCATAGTGCTGAATGCTTCTTGGATGGACATCAGTTCACTCAACCTCTCAGTTGTTCTATGGGCCAGGTTTATGAGCAGTCCCCCTTTTTGGACAAGGACACTGAGGCACCCAGAAAGGTGAAATAACATGCCAGAGATTACTAGCCAGTGGCCAAAGCAGGGCTTGAATCTTGAGTCTTTTAATCGAGAACCTTTGTTTCTTAACTGTGGTGTGAAATTCCCCAAGAGACCTGAGATTCTGTCTTAGTGGTTCTACTTTATCCTTAAAGTACTCTTAGAGTCAACAGTAGAATCCTCAATTTAGAGCTATGTATAAGGAAATTTGGTCTTCTGCAGTGATTCTCAAATGGCACTTGACAGGATCACAAGAGTGAGGGGAGATTACTACTGGAATCTGGTGGTGTGCTGCTTCACATCCCACAAAGCATTGGACAGCCTCACCATGAGAAATGATCCAGCTCTGCCTTAGGTTGGGTGGATATAACAATACCACAGAACTGGGGGCTTAATCTACAAACATTTATCTCACAGTTCTCGAGGGCAGAAATTTGAGGTCACGCATGATGGCATGATGAGAACTCTCTTCGTGCTTATGTTCTCATATAACCTTCCTTGGTGCTGCAAGCAGAGAGAGAGGCCCCCTTAGCTGCTCCTGTTTTTATAAGGGCCCTGAACCTACCCTGAAGGCACCATCTTCATGACCTCATCGAACCCTAATTACCTCTACAGGCTCCACCCCCATATACAATCACATTGGTGAGGGTAGGAGGCAGTTTTCAACTTAGGAATGTGGGGGCTGAGGGAAGATACAAAGATATGGCCCATAACAAACCCCAGATATCAGTCATGCTGATATTGAGATCTGATCCAATAATTCTGATCCAGTAGTTTCTTTGGTAAATTTAGAAACTGAGGCCTATTCTAGGCAGAGTGACTCAACCAAGTCCACTTGACAGTGGAAGGAATCCTGTCTTTGGAACCCTCCTCTAGTTCTCTGTCCTGTACTGCCCCACAACCACCTCTAGCACCTCTGCCTTTCCATTCACACACCCCCACCAATAAGTCGGAGTTGTAGAGGATTCTATTTAACAATTTCTAAGTTGAAAGTTTACTTCTCAAGGTAACTCCTCTGAAATACATATTTCAAAGGACTGTTGGAAAATAATTTCCTTTTCATTGGAAAAGATCTCCTCCGTGCCCCCTCCTAAGATCTTGTTTATTGTTCACACTGTCCAGTAAGATATGGCCCTGGCATTTCCCAGAATGGAAGCAGTGAGACGAGGAGGCTGGGAAAGGTGTCCTTTGGCTGACTTGGTATGCAGGGAGAAACTGTGCAGCCCTCAAATGTAATGGACTTCCAGGAACTGAGACTGTGGAGACCAATTTTTGTTTGGATTATATCTGCAGCATTAGCACAATTTTGGGAAGAATGGGGGTTTTGGAATAAGAAAGAACTGAATTCAAAGCCAGCTCTGCTATTTAAATGGCAGCTAGCCTTGGGGAGGTTTCCTTTTCTTAGCTTCGCATTTTTCATCTATAACTGCAGGCCATAGGAATGTGGAGAGAACTTAGAATGCCTAATTTGTTGCCACACGCTTAACCAGTTTTGTTTTGTTTATAAGTGATTCCTCTTTTTTTTTTTTTTTTAAAGATTTACTTATTTATGCATACAAGAACTGGGGTACAGGCAGACATGCGAGAGGTGAGAGGATCCACCAGAGACAGAGTGGGGAAAGAACAGGCAGACTGACTGAAATACACTGCTGAGGGGAGCAGCGGGCAAGACAGAAGAGGTCTGCTGCAGAGGCTGCGGATAGCTTCACAGTGCTGTGCTTAACCCCTTGCGCCACCCGGGAGGCCCCAGTGATTTTTTTTTTTTAAAGATTTTATTTATGCATACAAGAACTGGGGTACAGGCCAGAGTTGTGGGGGGTGAGAAGATTCACCAGAGACAGAGTGGGGAGCAGAACAGGCAAATTGACTGAAATACAATGCTGAGGGGAGCAGCAGCAAGTCAGGAGAGGTGTGCTGCGCCATGTGGGTTGCTCCCTGGCTGGCCAGGCATAGAACTCGAGCTGCAGTGGCTGCAGATAGCTTCATAGGTTGTGTCTTAACCTCTTGCGCCACCAGTGAGGCCCAGTGATTCCTTTTAATACAAGTTTTTAACAGAGAATTTGAGGAGCTGGGCATGTGAAGAAGGGTTGGGTGAGGATGGAACGATGGTAATGGGCAGTTTTTTTTGTTTTTGTTTTTGTTTTTTTAAAGATTTATTTATTTATATACGCACTGGGTACAGTCAGAAGCGTGGGAGGGTGAGAGAACTCACCAGAGCCAGAGCGGGGAGCAGAACAGGCAGATCAATGAAACACACTGCTGAAGGGCGCAGCGGGCGCGGCAGGAGAGGTCTGTGAGCCATGTGGGACCCTCGCCAGCGACCAGGGATCAAACTGGCACTGCAGAGGCTGCGGGCAGCTTCACAGCCCAGCACTCAACCTCTGCGCCACCTGGGAGGCCCGGTAAAGGGAAGCTTTTGTGGAAGATGCCAGAGTCACCCTGTAATGAGGCCCTGGAGAAGCCTCCTCTCCTTGATCTCTCTTTGGTAATGCACAGCCCTTCTAAAGTGCCAGACTTGCCACTGGTTGAAATAACCTCTGAGCCTCAGTTTCTTCCTCTGTAATCTCGGTATCAGAAGACCTAATTGTGGCATTGCAGTGAAAATTAAATGAACAAATTACCAGTAGCTGCTCAGTTCAGTGCCTGGAATATAGTAAAAGAATAGGAGCTATTTTTGCTTTTCTCACACGTAAGGTTGCCAGAGTTAGCAAATGAAAACACAGGACACCAGTCAACGTGAATTTCTAAACAGCACCTTGCTTGTTTGTTATAAGTAGATCCCACACATGGTCCTGTGTTCTTATCTGGCAACTCTATGTAATGGCTACCTCCATGGTAAGGTCAGCCAGGGGACTCGGGGGTGGACAGAGATAGAGGGGAGCCTGAGGTTGCTCTCCCTCAGTCTCTCTGAAACAAGCTTCCCAGGGGATAGTACAGGGAAGCCTGGCAGGGGGCAGGAAATGAACAGTTGTGACTGTAATTTCAGTAGGTCTGAATTTATGTTAATGTACAGAAACTCTTGTTTAGTGTTTTAATATTAAGTGCTATGACTAGCAGGATACGATTACAAACACTGTTGCTTAATAACATTTAAAGTAGGTATGAAAAGTTGTTTGTTTCTCTAAAAAGGTGGGCTAATTTTAAGAAAAATTTTGATTCAAATAAGACAACCAATACAGGACTGTGGCCAAAGTTGGGGCAGCTGGGCCAAAGAATAACCCGCTGCTGTGTTTGCAGGTCCGAGGCTGGGGAAGGACTTCTCCAACCGCCTGCATCTGGCCCAGAAAGAAGCTTAAAAAGGCCAGGGTGGGAGAAGGCATGGACAACTGCTTACTCTGTGTCAGCCTCTCCCAAGGGAGCTCCGAGGCCAGGCCTCCAACGCCAGGGAAGCTGGAGTCTGGGGCTCTGGTTCAAGGGGGCCTCGAGAAGGATAGGGGTGCTCTCTCCCAGACACAGGGGCATCCCCCAGGCCCCACCACTGCTTCCAAGGAGATTAGAAAGATCTGCTTTTCCACCTACAGTCAGGCAGAGAAAAAGAGTCTGCAAATAAAGGAGTTTATTTGGTGCATGGAAGACTGGGTTGCCCCTGAGACTGTTAAAGGAAAGGACCTCAGAAATCCCAGCAGAGGGCTCTACAGAGGGGCCTCCCTCTCTGACTCCTTGACCTCCAAAACTCTTTTAGTTCTGCCTCCCTTGAAGACTGCACCTGCAGACAGCATGGATGTTCCAGGTAAGAAGAGTACAAATTTTTTCTTACAGTCAGAAGAGAAGGTGCTGAGTGTGGAAAAGGATGAGTGTATGACCTGTGCTTTTGGAGTGAAAACAGTTGATGGGAAAGGTGAAAAGAGACCATTTGAACTGGCCAGGCACCTGAAGGTCAACAAAACGCTGCCTTTCCCTCCCCCAGAGCCCCGGACATCCCTGCTGGCTGAGCCTCAGCCCTGCTGCCTGCCCTGGCCCCTCCTGCCTGAGAAAAACGCCATGTGCACTCCCGACCCCAAGAACCTTCACTTTCTCACCACCTTACAGCTTTTGCAGAAACATGGAGTACAAAACTATAAGGCCAAGTTCAAAGCCAGGGAGCCAAGACCTCCTGTGAATACCCCAAAGCGCATTCTCACCGAGGCCAAGCAGGAAAACAGCTCCAAAACTTTGGACCCCAAATTGTTCCCCAAATCTCTCTTGCCGTCCCTCACAGTGAGCAGAGTTATTATTCCTATCTCCACGCACAGGTTCCTCTGAGTTGCCACAATATAAATCCCTGGGAATAAGCACCGTCTGAAGTTCTTTCAGCCCTCTTCTCCTCCCTATTCCCATCTCCTCCTCTTGTTCCGTCTTCTCTCCCTCCCCTTGTCCTTTTTTTTAGTAGAAAACAGAGGAAATTTAGCCAGTTGAACCTCACTATAGAAGTTTTTGCTTAGTCTCCTGTTTCAACATACATGTTACCTGCTTCTGTTGCACCACCATTTACAAAATGCTGCTCTCTGCAGCTGCCTGCATTGCCTGTCCACTCCCACTGGAGGCCAGGTGGATGGCCAAGCCCCAGAGTCTCTTTCTGTGATGCCCCCATGCCAGCCTTTAGTGAATGGCACGGCTCTCTCTGCCCTAGCGCCTTAAGCCAAGTGGGCTGGCTTGTTTAGGCCAAGTTGTTTCCTGGTGTTTTTTGTTTTTTTTTTTTTTGGTTTAATTTTGACCCAGGCAGATAAGTCAATTGGCTCATTTTCTCTTGCAATAAAGATCAGAGACATTGCTTTTATAACTCCAGCCTACCTCCAAATGCTTCCTTGTGTCCAAGGACTATCCATGGATATATCATAACCATTGAACTCTTGTGTGCAAGTGTCATATGTATATCCAGGGATGTACCAGATCCACATATCCTCTGGGTCCAGTGACATATGGATAGAACATATCCACATTTTGGATCCAAGGTGACACATCCTTATGTTTTATCCATTGATACCATTATATGTGCCCAAGATTTCATTGTGCTCATGCTAGTCTCTGTGCCTGAGAAGTTTTAACCACAACTTTACAAAATCCATCTTGGGGGAGCAGGTTACGAAATTAACCTACTTTAAATAATAAAAACATCCCCTTAGAAATACAGAAGGAAACTTGTGTCTCAGGAAGCAATTGAATTTAACCAATATGGAGGTCCAGAATAATCACAATGTGACTGCTGTTTGTCATCAGACAAAAGAACAGTCATTATAATAAAGGACTCCCAAAATGACAATCGAGAAGTTGTGCATTAAGCAACTTTAATAAATAGTCTGTAAAAAAATATATAGAAAATTTAGTGGACACTTATATCTCCCAATTTATGTATCTTCGTCAGCTTCTCCACAGGCTTACCTAATTGTTCATATACTACATCTTACTGAAGTATACATTTTAAGCTGTTAGGCTATTAATTTACTCTTGCTTATCAAGTATTACCAGTGTTTAACTGTGAAAAACACACAACATCCAGAAAACTGTCGTAGGCTTCTCATAATTTCATTTATTTAAGTTTCTCTTTAGACATGGAAAGAATTTATCAGACAGCATTGCTGCTCACAAGAAGCCATTTTCCTGAAATTGAATGAGGATCAGTGAAATAATGACTCTGATAGCTGTTCTTAATTCTGTTAATGTTTTCTCATTCGCAAAATTCCTCAGATATAACTGGCTTAGTAAGTATATATCTTAGTATAAATGATAGAAAATATAGGCAAGGTAAAACAGTGACTGTGGTATTAAGACTGAGGAGCTAATACAAGGATATTTTAGATCTATATTCAGAAGTAAATGTAAGAGTATAAAATGGAAAATTAGAGGTCAAAGGAATATAATATAGGAGTAAATATTTAACTAGAAACTGCAATATAATTATGTTTAGGGAAATGTTAAGAATCTAGTTCCTTGGTTTATTTTCCCATTTTGATTATAACCATGCATGCAAATTCTGATAACAAATAAACTTTGACACTTAATGTCTGAAAGTTTCATAAAATCAACCTAGAAATTTACCTTATTAAGCAATGTATGACTCTTTAACAGGACCTTCCTGTTCCAAGGGTATATATTATTGTGAAAGTAAAATTTTACAAAACTGAAAAAAAAAAAATAAGCTCTCTTGTTTGAAAAAAAAATTCACTGTGATTTTTGTCACCCTACTGCTTCCTTCAGCATCACCTTGCATCTGTCATTTGGAAAAACTGTACCCCCAGAAAGACCCTTAGCAGATGGGGCTGTTACTTTCTTCCTCCCCCTGACCTCCTCACCTTCCCTTGTTTTACCCTAGTCCCTATTCCCTGAAGTTGTCGGTCAATTAAACATTTGTAAATGAGTTATGTTGTAAATGCCAAGTGAGGATGGTATGTACAGAAATACTTTAAAAACCACTTTGTAATATGAATGACCATTTACCTACTCTGTAGTTAGTTTGCATTTGTTTAAGGTAGGTTATACTTGAACACTGGACTTTCTAGCCCCTAAGTGCTGGGGCAGACAGCATATGACTGTTTTTATAAATACCTGCTTTACATAATTGGTCTTTGCAATGTCTTGTCTGTTTTAAATTTTTTATTTTGTTTTATGGTTTGTTTTCACACGACACCAGAAATCCAGGAATACAAATACAGTCACTAAAAGGTATATGTTGCCTTCTGAGGGTGGACATTTATTTGTAGTGTAGAAGCAGTTTTTTAGGCTCCATTGCAAAAATCTTCCTTGCATGAAGAAACCATCTGGATTCTGGACCACCACCCGGTAAGTGGTCCTGAGCTCCCATTTTCTGAGCAGTGAATATATTAGAGCTGCCTCTGTCTGAGGACCCTCCAGCGCTGCCCACTTGAGTCAGGAAGGGTATAGATCAACATGAGTGGGGGACAGAGCCCCCATTGGTGGATAAGAAAAAAAGTCTTGTTCTGCTTAGCCCGGACAGACTTCCCTTTCAGGGATTTTGAGGCAATGTGAAAACCCTGATCAAAGTCACAATAATATTCCCATGAAAAACTCTTGAGGGGAGAATTATAAATTCTGTGATTTGAGAGCAAACATGATTTAGGATTTAAAGGAAGAGCTTACATTTACTGAAGATAATGCAGTAGCCTGTTTTTGGACAGATAATGTAGCCAACAAAATATCAACTAGAAGATTCTTCTGTGAGTAGATAGAACATTTTGCATCTGGCATCTCTTTGTTTAGATCCCTCTGGGATCTTGCTCGCATTCTGGGTTTAGCATGTTTCTCTGTGGATAAAGTCATTCTTGGACTTGTCCCAATTTCCGTCCGTATTAGGGCATCCAAACTGGTTTGTGACCCAAGTCGAGATGAAGCAAAATGTTCATAGAATTCGGGTTCCAATAGGGTTTTAGGTCACTAACAACCCTGCCAGGAAATCCTGCTGTTTTCATGTGTTCAGCATGTACCTCCCTCAAGGTGACGGTCTCAGTTAGGTTTTGGTTCTGCTTCTCTCCACATCCAGCCTGGGAGGATCTGGCTTTCATTCCTCTTTCTATTGTCTTTGGATGTTGCATTAATAAAACTTTCCAAATGCCTGTTTTTGTTGAAACCTTAAAAATCACCAAGTGGAAGGGTGGCAGCACCAGCCACAGGGCTCCTGTGGAGGCTGAGGTCACCTACTGGGTGGGGCCGGGTTGAGACCTGCCACTGCTGCTGAGGGTGTAGCAAGGCAAGGGAGGGGTCAGAGGGATGGGAAACCTCAGGACAGAGAGAATGTTGGCCAGGCAGGGAGATAAGGGGGTGGCACTTGTCTTTTCTTTGCCATACACATCAATGTCACCCTGTAGGTGGCTCAAAAAATAAACAGCCAGATCGTTTCCCTCTCACAAATGACTGTTCAAAATCATATGGAATTCCTGTGGGCATGGGAATCGTCATTTGTAGTTCAGTGGGTCTTCGCTCTTTAACAGTCCTCAAACCTCAGCTCTCCTAACTTGTTGACTGAGGGTCCCTGCTTTTGAACTATTAGGCAACCTCACGGGCCACTTAATTCCCTGGCCTTTTTTTCTTATCCTGCTTTGCCTGAATTTCCACTGTCCAGTCTAAACACCATGGCCCCTGCAGATTAGTACCTTGTCAAGGTGTTAGAATGAAATAAATGACTTTTCGAGTTCAATCTCCCAGATCAAAGCTAGTGTTCATCTTTTTGAACACTGTGTTATAATGACTCCTGTATCCAGTGTAGTTAGTAATAAAGAACCACCTTCTCTTTTCCATGGAGCCAAGAACCTGGAATTAGGAAATAGAACTAGAATTAGGAGACCTTTTGAACTTTCCTGCCTTGCTGGTGGAGTGCAAACTGGTCCAACCACTATGGAGATTTCTTGACTTACTACAGATAGAGCTTCCATATGATCCAGCAATTCCACTCCTAGGAACGTTCATTCCAAAGGGCACCTGCATCCCAATGTTTATAGCAGCACTATTTACAATAGCTAAGCTATGGAAACAACCCAAATGTCCAAAAATAGATGACTGGATCAAGAAGATGTGGTACATATACACCATGGAATATTACTCAGCAATCAAAAAAGATAGACACATGCAGTTTGCAGCAACATGCATAGAGCTAGAAGGGATCATGCTCAGCGAAATAAGCCAGAAAGAAAAAGAAAAATACCGGATGGTCTCACTCATAGCAGGAATTTAGAAAACCTAAATAAGGGACCAGGAAAAAGACTAATTAATACAAAGTAAAAATCAAAATCAACAAGCAACTATAAACCAGAGACATACTATCTGGGGGGGTAAGGACGGGGAGAGGAAGGACTAGGGTCAAAATAAGGAGGGGGTGCCGTTGTATGGGGAATATAACCAAAATGAAAATGCATACATTGTGCAAAAATGAAAAATGATGTTAAGAATTATATAAAATATTTTTAAAAAAAGGTTTACTGGGTTAAAAAAAAAAAAAGAATTAGGAGAACTTTTTTTTTTTTAAATACCCCAGCTCTGCCACTGGGCATTGCTGCCTTTGCCTTATAAAATGAGGGGATTGATACCTAAGGTTCTCCCTCATTCTGTCATTTTAGCACAGTTAACTTACATACAGTAGTAAAAACTTAAAATAGTGAACATTTTTTATGTCACAAATTTGTGATCAGGTTTGCTCTAGATCTTGGCTTTTGTAGTGTGAAATTAAAAAAAATGAAAGTGAATAGAATTTGTACATTTCAGAAGTTGCTTGCAGTAAAAATCCTAAAGATATATTATTTTACTTTGGCCTACAAAGACTCAACCTTCTCCACTAACACACACTTTCTAAAGAAGTTATATCTTAAAGCCACTAAACTCCATACTGTATCTGTGGTAAAGCTGAGGCTCCACAATCCAACTGGTCTACCACTAGGCAGAGCTTTTCCCTGTTGGCACTGCTGCCATTTGGGGCTGGATCCTTCTTTGTGGTGGGGACTCTTTTGTGCCTAGGAGGATGTTTAGCAGCATCTATGGCCTCGATCCACTAAATGCCAACAATATCCCTCAATTGTGACAACCAAAAATGTTTTCAGACTTTGCCAAAGGCAAAATTGGTCGAGTTGGGAGTTAGTAAATCTAGAATCCAATGCCTTTGTTTGTTGCAGCTTCTCTGACAGTTTAAGTTTTTTTACAGAGGAGGAAGAAGCCTGGCACAGGGGTAATATGGGAGATATCCTCCTTGCCTTACCTGAAAAGTGAGGTGCTCCAAGTCTAAAGCCCAAAGGGGTTCCCAATTTTCTCCTAGCTTTTCAGGGTCTTCTGGTGATACCTGCCTGGGCTCCTTCCAGGAGTGACCATAATAAACCTGTTTTTTTTGGAGACAATCTCTCCTCTGGTCCATTTAGCCAGTGCTAACTAGAGCTATTGGCTTTCTTACCCTTCTTTCAGCAGAGGGGTAAGGTTTTCAAGAAAATTGTTTTGGCAAGGTTTTCAAGAAAATTCTAAGATGTTAAGTTAATGTATTTACATTTAATGCCATTTTTCCAAATTCTCCACGTTCAGCAATTTTCTCTTTGTATTCACTGCTTGTGCCAAACCAGCATGGCTGTTAAAGAGGCAGCCTGTGCTGAGCATGACACTCCTCAGTGACTGCTGGCAAATCAATCTCCACATGTATTTATGAAAATGGCTTTTTTTCTCCCATTTAGCTCAAACCGCAAATCTTTCTTCCCTTTGAATGAAACCATTTCTCTCCTTATTTAAACCTGAAAGTAGGCATGAACTTAAAAACGTATTACAAACCTGTCTTATTTCTGGCACCACAACAGGCTTGTGACTATCCACTGAGCCTTTAAGTGTGAAAGAACTGCTAATAGTTTCATTTTTTTTTTTTAAGCTGTATGTGCTTTGAAGAAAACTAGAAAGCCTACATTTAATTTGGGACAAATACCGCTCACTGATCCTCATATTGCTCATTCTGAAGGTTTAGTTTTGGAGGCTATGCCAGAGAGGAAGTGCTCGTTGGAATCAGTATTTGATGAGCAGGTTTTTACTAGAATTAAGACATTCTAAAATTGAGGCCATAAAAGGATTACATGAAAATATCACCCTGTCATTAAACAACCCTGCCTATTAATAAAACTACTCAACTTCACAAATATCAATAGACTGACACTGGTACATTTCCTCCTGATAAGTAGTTTTAAACCTTAATTAGCATCTTTTTTTTTAAAAAAAGATTTATTTATACAAGAGCCAGAGTACAGGCCAGATGCGTGGGAGGGTGAGAGGACTCACCAGAGAGAGAGCGGGGAACAGAACAGGCAGACTGATGAAATACACTGCTGAGGGGAGCAGCGGGCGAGACAGGAGAGGTCTGCTGAGCCATGTGAGTTGCTCCGCGGCTGGTGGGGATAGAACCAGCACTGCAGAGGCTGCAGACAGCTTCACAGCACTGTGCTCAACTGCCTGTGTTACCGGGGAGGCCCCTTACTTAGCATCTTTTACGGAAGCATCTTTTACTTTTATTTTCTCTTTATTTCAAGGGGATCAGAAACACACATTGTTTTGGCTTTCCTGCAAATTAGAGATTGAGTAGAGTACTATTCATTTTCTAGCCCTCTAATAGTTGCTCCAGAGCCAGAGCCATATTGATTACAAAGAATAAAAGGCACCCCCATTACAAAGTCATCACATTCCTATGCATTAATTGAAGTAATTTCTTTGAATAAATTTTCCAAAACTTAGATCCTAAGACATAGTTTTGGTTTTTTTTTTTTTTTTGTGTGTGTGTGGCAGGAGGGACCCTCACAGGCAGCTGGGGAACGAACCGGCACTGCAGAGGCTGCGGGCAGCCTCGCAGCCCAGCGTTCAACCGCTGCGCCACCAGGGGAGGCCCTAAGACATAGTTTTTTTTTTTTTTTTCAAAGATTTATTTATTTATTTATACAAGCACTGGGTACAGTCAGAAGCACGGGAGGGTGAGAGAATTCACCAGAGCCAGAGCGGGGAGCAGAGCAGGCAGAAGGACCGAAGTACACTGCTGAGGGGAGCAGCGCGCGGCAGGAGAGGTCTGCGCGCCATGTGGGACCCTCCTCCGGTGGCCGGGGAGCAGCTGGGGATCGAACCGGCGCCACAGAGGCCACGGGCAGCTTCGCAACCCAGCGCTCAACCGCTGCGCCACCGGGGAGGCCCTAAGACATAGTTTTTTTAATCAAGATTAAAACCTTACTTCAACATAGAAACTTTGGTAACGGGTGTCTTTTCATTTTATATTGTGCAAATTGTAAGCATATTTTCATGAACAAAGGAAAAGCCATAATGAAAATAACTAACACAATCACTTCATCGTGTGAGCTTATGAAGGGTAAGGCAACAAGAGTTACACTATAAGGTCGAAAAGTCTGCAAATAGGTAGAATTCTCACTTCTCTTTAATCACTGAATTTGCTTTTACAAATAATCTTAGAACAATTCAAAGGAAGCCAAGGTTTTGGTGGGAAACAGTTCTTACTTGTACATGAGGAACTAGTACATGCTCCATTTTTCTGTTAATAACTATAGGTCCTATTAACATTGTCACAGAAACATTTTTTTTAAAGCCATAGATCACTGCATTTATATCAAAAGCAATAAACAAACATGCATTGCTCCTTTTCTAGAACTTAAATAGATGATTGAACATTAAGGCAGTGATGATTCTAAAACAATGAAATTCTAAGTTAAGGCTTTATGTTTTAAAACCCATAATCATAGGCAACTGTGACCAAAGCAAACTTGTACCAGATTGAGTTCACCTGCCCAGGATAGTATTTCTCCATTACCAACAATCCTATGGGGGTAAGAATTAGTAGCAACACCAGCAATTTACTTTGATGAATTATTAGTTTTCTCATTAGGTTTTATTTTGAGGATTTAGCTTTCAGTGGTACACATGTATGACACAGAGGAAACATTTTTTGTAAAATTAGAAAACATACAGGCCACACTGAAAGTTGGCCAACAATCAAGAATCCAGAATCTCCCAAACACAGGCCCCCCAGAACCCCCCCTAAACATACCTGACCCTGCTCCCATCTCTAAACCTAGAGGTTCTTGATGAGTGAATAGGTCTTCACCTTGTCTTCTTTGAAGATAACTAGTATTACTCTTTCCTAACAAAGTAACAAATTACTACCATAGTTTAGGTGAATCTATTCTATAATTGCTATCCTCAAGGCACAAATAATATCCTTGCTAGACCAATGTCTTATTCACAGAAAAGATGAGAGGTAAATGAAAAGCATTCGCTTTATAATAACTGTAGATTGCACTCTTGCCCTATCAAGCTTATTACAAGTGTGAAGTATTGGAATTTAGGGGGACTGTCATTTTTTCTCTCCACTATTAAAAAAAATGACAAAGCTCAGATCCAGCCTGTGGAGTGCACTTTGAACAGCAGTCCCAGAGTATCCTGGCCTGCTGCTGAGTAGGATGGATGGCTGCAGGGTGTGTTCCAGTACCAACAGGCACGACACCACGATTCTGCCTCTTTATGGTAGGGGTGACTTAACTGTTTACATGAGAAGGGTCACTATTTACACTAAGTGCTTGCTGCTGTTTTTAAGCAGTCATTTTACCGCAACACATCTCTTGTGAGGCAAGTACTATACAAATACATTGATATCAGTAATCATTATGTAGTGAAGGGATGGCATTGACTACAGGGAAATTGTTCAAAGGCTAAAGACAGCTGTAGTTTTTCTTTGTGCCTTCAAATCAGAAGAGATGTTACAGGAGATAAAGGTGCAGGCTGACTTGAGTCTCAGCCCCTTTGAGCACTGGCGTTATGGTCACCTGGTCACATCAGATTGTATTAGATGTTACTATCAGGAAGCAGGAACTTCTAATAAGCACTGCAAAATATTTTAGTTGCAACTTACGCACATCACAGACCACAATTTTTTAAAGAGTTGAAATTTTTCTTTCAAATATGGGACAACTGGCTGTGAAAGGGCAAATGTAGGCAACTCAAAAACAATTATTTTTAGATCAATATCTTACACTTTATAATACACTCACATTTATACACAGATTTCATGTTTACAAGTACAAAAGGCAATGAACCGCAATGAATTGAATCAACTGCATCATCAACTACATTCAATAGAGTGAACGCTGCTCTAGAAGCAAACTGTAATCTCCACTGTCAGAAGTTGGAGACCGTGTGCAGTTCCGCACATGTCTGGGTTTCTACCGAGCTAAACTGAGATTCCATAGTGTTCCAGGCCAAATCGGCCAGAAGAAAGTCGTCCATTGCTGTTTGAGTTTCATTGCTGGTGAAGAACAAGTTCCCCAGGGTTTCAAAGCCAGAATTCATGGTCTGTGTTTCGGTACTGTTCAACTGAACTTTGCTTTCGAGAGAAGGAAGGTTTTTAGCAGCAGAGACTCCTTCAGTTTGGGTCTCTGTGTCAGAAGAATCAGTACTCATGGAGAAGCTGGAGTGTTTCAGAATACTCCCCAGAGGCAGGTGAGGACTACTATCTAAAAAGAAGTTTAAGTCTGTCTGTGTCTGTGTGTCAAACATCTCAAGGCCTAAGAAGTTAGAATTTCCCCTACAGCTATAGGATGGGGCAGAAGGGTCTGCAAGAAAGAAGTCAGTTTGGGTCTCTATGTCCAGTGATTCCAGGGCTGGCTCTGTGGTGATGGTGCCAAGCTCACTCGCTTCAGTTTGAGTTTGGATATTGGAGGCCGAAAAGAACTCTTCAATATCGAAATCGATCGCTGGATTCTGGGTGGGGCCAGACGGGAGCTGGGTGTCTGGCCCAGTATTAGTGTCAGACAAAAGACTGCGATTGTCCAGTGTCTGTGCAGGCAGATTACTTGATAAGATGTTTTCTAAATCACTGAATAAGTCTATGGTTTGGGTCTGATTATCTGTCATGTTCTGAGAAGGAAGTATACTATTCTGCGTGGTGAAGTTTATAATTGATGCAGATTTCTCAATATCTTGATTTAAAGTCTTAGGGTGGTTCTGAGGTATCAAACTGTGAGTGTCAGTCTCTGTTACTAAACTGTTGCTTATGATATTATCTGCAGAGACACCATATGATGAATGGACAGTCTCAAAAATGTCTCCACACATTACAGCTTGGTCCATCTGTACCCGGTCATCAGCTGGATTCTGCAGTCCACTAGTTTGAGTTTCTCTGGAGATCCCACCTGACTGGAGACATGCATCTATAAACACATCAGTCTGTGCAGCTATAGTTGAAGTCACCTTAGAACTGGGCAAAAATGTTTGTGTTTGGACACTAATGGGAAGGGACACTTGAGAACCAAAAGTCAAGTCAGTTTGAGAACAAGACGATACAGAGGAATCAGGACTAGCCCACTGTGAAGAAGGTATAAAGTGTTGTGAGGCATAAGACAGATCTGTCTGGACATTGATTGAAGAAATGCTATTCTTTTGACATGTATTCCCTAGTTCTTGTAAAGGATCAGACAGACCTTTACCCAAGTTTACTTGAACACCTGTACTAATTGGCTCAACAGCAACAGGGGTTACAATTTTTGAAAGCGGGAGGCTCTCCTTCAGAGAGCAAGTCTCTGAATCCAGGCCAAGGAACAGGGTTCCTATTGACAAGGGCAGTAAGTGCACAGCACCTGGGGCCGAGCCCTGATGATCAACACCTAACACCACAGGCTGGGCTGAGGGGTCGGCTGTAGGCACAAAGACAGGCATAGGAGAAAACTGCATGACTGGCAGTTTAACCAAGGCCACCTTGGGCTTTGGTAGAAGCAACTTCTGAGGATATCTTGGCGTTGTTGTAAGAGTCTGCTTTCTGGCATTAGAGCTGCAAGAGTCTTCAAAAGAAGCAACTAGCTTGATTTCTGAAGTTTCCAGTTCTTGAGTGTCTGTTCTTGGGGTTGGTTGGTTGCTCAATGTCTCAAGTGTCTTACTGGACAACTTCTGGTTGTGCAGGTAGTTTTCCATTTTCCTTTTCTTACTAGGTGGATCCCTAAATACAATGCAAAAGTAAAAGAAGAGAAACAATGTCAAATTGCAGCTTCTCTTAACCCTGGACCTATCTTCTTTACTTACAATGCTATTTTCAACATCTACAGAAGTCAGATTCAAATGAGTGAAGAGAAATCCCTTCTTGGAAATCTTTGAGAACTGGGCCTATTATATGGTCAGAAATACGTAAACAGAGAAGGAAGCATAGCATTTAAAAAAAGCTTTAAGTGCTAAAACTCAACTAAGATCTGTAAGTATATGGAAGGTAACATATTACATAATACAACTGTCATCATTTCTAAAGCAGGAAGCTATTATGCCAAATATAAATTTGACCTTTAAAATGAAGTACAGTTTCATGATTAAACTTACTCTTTAACAATCAAATCTCTCTCTAAAAGAAAATGCAGGAAGTTGAAATTTTCAAATGGGAGCATAAGGGACCCTCACAAGGGAATGGTAGAATAAGGAAGAACAATTGGGTCAAGATGATGTAGATCCTTTGCAAGTGCTGCTATTTTGAAAAGCTCCTTCTTCCTTATAACCTATTTCTCCATTCTTCTTCTTTTCTCCCTATAGTAATGAAGTTACTATATAAACTCCCTCCAGAAGTTTCACTGGAAACTCCTCCCACAGCTGTTGACTTGTGGACCCTTATTTTTTCCCTTTACCTGTGTTCTGCAGGGATTTCATGGCCAGTTCGGTAGATGTGGGACTGCAATGCAGTTCTACTGGCATAGGGACAGCCACATGTGCACTGGAAGGTCTTGCCACAGTCCTCTGCATGTCTTTTCAAATCCCACTCAGTGCCATAGGAATTGCTGCACTTACTACACTTATGCTTCTTCTCAGCATGCATTTTCATAAAGTGCTAGAAAGAACACAAAAGGGATTAAAATGAAAAACTTTAACTGCTCTCAACATTCAAAAACTGTCAATATACCCAAATTAGCAATGACATTCATATGTAACAGAGCTGTTCCAGACCAAAAGACCGCAAAAGCAGAAAAACCACAGTTTATTATACGCCTATTCTCCCTATTACGTTTGTGAAAACTGAGTTGGTTTTGGAAACAATCCAAGGTATCTATCCAACATTTAAGCTGTGATCTACAGAGTAGTCTTATATAGAGAAAAGTCTATGTAATGCTTTTTCCAGGGAACCTCGACCTTCATCAGCAAACTTTCCGGAAACATCTCAACCATCAATCTCTTCATGTCCTGAGTTACCTCCATAACAGTGGTTAGGGCCCTTCCCTACTCTTAAGAGAGCTGCTTCAGAATTTCCTCTTGTCTCTGCAGTTTCTTATTCCCCTGAGAGAACTTTTCCTTTGTGCGTTTCCCTGCCTGCCCTTGGAGGCATAGAGATTCAGACATGAGATGTGGAAGCACACATTTTCTCATTCTTTGCTTTATTGTCCTCTCTCCAAACCCACTGCTAGACATCTTCCCTCCAGAACAAGCCTCATTTCTGTCACCTGCCTTACACCCCATTCACTTTCCCATTGGGAGTTCTTGGATGGCTGTGCTCACACATAGCTTTCTGTTTACTTTCTCCAGCTAGGATCATTAAGTAGTTAGAACACATACTGGGCTTATACTTTCTTTATTTTGTCCTCAGAGAACTATATGTAAGGGAAATAAAATACCTGTTTTACGAGAGAAAATTGAGAAAATGGTCTGTCAGGACCTCTAGGACATCCTTCAATTGGACAACAGTAGAATTTTGGTACCGTTTTCAAATCTTTTCTTATTGTTGGATTTACTATGCCATCCTGCAAAAGAAAAAATACTTTAAATATTTTTAAAAACCAGTAAAACAGGCTAGGGAGAGAGACAAGGAATGACAAAAGGTAAGCACAAGGGGTCTCTGTTTGGGTGACTGAAATGTTCTGAAATTGTACTGCGGAGATGGTTGTACAATTATTAGATAAATTGAATTATTCACTTAAAATGGGTAAATATTAGAGTGTGAGCTACATTTCAATATATCTGCTAAATTTTAAAAACTGTGCTGTTTAAAAATTCTGCCCTTTCCTTTAAAACTACTCCTTCTAAATGTAAAATCTCTGTCCTAAAAGCCACCTTCTGTATTTGTAAGTGCATCATGTTTACAGTTTCTCAAGCTCAAGATTTTGGTGTCACCCTTAAGTCTTCCCTTCTATACCACTCCCAGTGTCTTAGACTCAGAGCCTGAAAAAAATCTTCCTCTGACTATGATTTAGGCTTTCCAATATTATTGTGGCTTTCTCTGATCTGGTATATCACATTGTCCCTAAACTAGCTAAAGCTGTATTACACAATGATTAAAAAGCAATTTGAATGCAGACATGGTATGTTTGAAATTTATTATCATTATAATGGCAAATACAAGATAGCTTTTATTACAGTGTCAGGCACTGTTCTAAGTACTTTATACACACACACACACACACACACACACATATAACATATATAAACTCATATAACCCTGGTAATCCTTTGATATGAGTTTCTATATGAATGAGTTTATATATGAGTTTCTATATGAATGAGTTATATATGAATTTATGAGTTTCTATATTCATAATCCAAGCAATCCCTTGATATTAAATTTGTGATAGACTTTTTGGCTAGGAATTTAAAAGCAATTAAGTTAATTAAACCTGAAGAGCGCTCTTATTGCTCTGAGGAGCCCTGATGACCTCCAGTATAATTCTCTGGCCCCTCCCAGATGCCCCAAAGGAGGGTGAGGGGAGATGGACCTCCATTCAGTCGCTGGAACAATAGGAATGGTGCTCAGGCCTCTGCTGCTGCAGGTCCTCTAGTATTCTGATGGGAAAGGATTCATTACTTTTGGAACATGCCCCCTCTTCTCTGCCCCCTCTTCTCTCCCATCAGTGTGTATCTAGAAAAGTGAGAGGTTAATAACTAAGTGGCAAGAACTCTTCTTTGCTCTCAAACTGGCATCAAGAAGAACATGTAGATCTTGCTGGGTCAGTGTTCCAATAATTTAGAAGGGGAAAGAAGCTATTCTTGTTTGATTTTTAAGCAAAACAATTTGTCTTTCATTGCTATCAAACTTAATTATTCCTCCATGTCTTCAACACTGGTCCATCATTTATCAATTCTATTGCACTATACTGTCTAGATAGTCATTTAGTTTATTTAAATGGTCTCTGAAATGATTTCTTCCTTTTCTAATACGAAGTTTGACGTAAAAAATTATTTGCATGTATCACCTAATGCTGTCAAAAAATATATGTAAAATCAACTCCTCCCATTTACCATTATAGCCTTAGCATTTATTGCTCCCTTGTACCCTTTCAGTCCAAGATTCTTCCCACTTTTAATTCCACTTTCCACACCCATTTCTGAATATCTGTCCTTTTTATCCCTCTCAAATGGTATTGATTTTCCCATTACAAAACCACATAATTTGAGGCACACAACTTGACATCTTCAGGTGTGCTCATGTTTTACCTCCAAAGCTCCAATGCCAATATCTGATCATTTTCCGTTCCCCACCCTCTCTAATAACCAGTATCTTTTTAGAGTGTAAGAATAATTTTTCTTCTGTTTTGCCAGTTTGTTTTCTGTGGTTAGTTATATTCCACAAATGAATGAGATCATCTGGTAACTGTCTTTCACTTTCTGACTTATTTCACTTAGCATCATCGCCTCAAGATCCATCCATATCGTCCCAAAAAGCACTATTCATCTTTTTAAGTAGCTGAGTATTATTCCAATGAGTATGTACTCCATAATTTCTTTATTCAGTCACCTGTTGGTTCCATGTCTTGTTCTTTGTGAATAATATGCTAAGGTGCAATGAATATACGGATGCATAAATTTTTTCATATTAGTGCTTTCAATTTGGTAAATACTTAGAAGCAGTACTGCTGGATCACATGGCATATCCATTTTTATTTTCTGGAGGAATCATACATTTTCCACAGTGGCTACACCAAAATACATCCCCACCAACAGTAGATTAGTGTTTTTCTCCACATCCTTGCCAATATTTGTTGTTTCCAGTCTTTTTGATGGAGGCCATTCTCACAAAGGTGAGGTGATATCCTAATCATGTAAGAGCCCCTCCTTTCTCCTCTCTGTTGCTCAGAGTCCTATCCCATCCATTAGCTTAAGAATATAAACCTTTGGACCTCCCTGGTGGCGCAGTGGTTGAGTGCTGGGCTGCGAAGCTGCCTGCGGCCTCTGCAGTGCTGGTATGATCCCAGCCAGCCGGTGAGAAACCCATATGACGCAGCAGACCTCTCCTGTTGCGCCCACTGCTCCCCTCAGCAGTGTATTTCGTTGGTCTGCCTGTTCTGTTCCCCGCTCTGTCTCTGGTGAATTCTCTCACCCTCCCGCGCTTCTGACTATACCCAGTGCTTGTATAAATAAATAAATCTTTAAAAAAAAAAAGAACATAAACCTTTAATCTGTATTATTTATTCTAGAATTTACAGTTACATAAATTACCCATATGTATACAATTAAATTTCTTCCTTTTCCCCTGGTTAGTAGTCTCACCTTAATTTGTCTGCTCATCCGGTGTGGGGGTATTTTTGCCCTGCACCCATACAAAACTGACCTAAACTAATCTAAACTAATACTTTACATTGAAGACTGTTCCAAAGTCTGACTGAAAAGCTGCTTTTGTTAAAACACTGATAACTGCTAGCTTTAGTAACAAGTAACATTGCATCTCATTGCCCAGTTCATCCCATTCACCGGTTTGTCTGGAATTTTTTTTTTTTAATGAAAATCTTTTTTTCCACCCACCCCGGCTAGTGTTATCAGTGAGAGAAAATGAAATGCATGGTTAATATTTAGTTATGTACTTAGGAGATGGCACCATTTCCAGTTCTAGGTTGTCCAATGTCCTGTGAACTGCCTACAGGGTCACTATAAAACTCATGCTCACTTCTAATATATCCTCAATTTTACTCAACAATGCTTTTATTATACCTTAAGCTTTCTATCATGTTCCCATTCACTTATTCATTTCATTATTTATTTATTTTTTAAGATTTATTTATTTATACATACAAGAACAGGGGTACAGGCCAGATGCACGGGAGGGTGAGAGGATTCACCAGAGACAGAGCGGGGAACAGAACAGGCAGACTGACGAAATACACTGCTGAGGGGAGCAGTGGCATGACAGGAGAGGTCTGCTGCACCATGTGGGACACTTGCCAGTAGCCGGGATGGAACCTGTGCTGCAGAGGCTGTGGACAGCTTCACAGCACTGTGCTCAACCGCCTGCACCACGAGGGGAGGCCCCATTTCATTTTTTAAATAACGTTATTTTTTAAGAGAAATTGTAGGTTTATAACAAATAGATCAGAAAACTAGAGTTCCCATATGCCCCCTCGTCTCCAGTAAGTTTCCACTATTAACATTCTGCACCAGAGTGGTGTATTTGTTACACATGATGAACCTACATTTCACACATCACTATTACCTCAAGCCCATACTTGGATATTAGAGTTCATTCTTGTGGTACACTCTATGAGCTTGGAGAAATGTATAATGATATACACCATCATTACAGTATCAGGCAGTATTTTCACTGTCCTAAAAACAGTCAGGATTCCATCCTTGCCCCTAAGCCCTTGCGACCAATGACTTTCCATAGTTTTGCCTTTTCCAGAATATCATAATTGGAATCACATGGTTAATAGCCATTTTGGATCAGCTTCTTTCATTCGGTAATGTATCTAAATTTCCTCCTTGTATGTTCATGGCTTGATAGCTCATTTCTCTCTTATTGAATAATATTCTATTATTCCATGTATATATTAAAGCTTATTTGTCCATTCACCTACCAAAGGCAAAAGGATGCAAAATCCATCAAGATCAAGAAAAACAAGGACAATGTGATGTTTAAAGTTCAGTGCCGAGGGCCTCCCTGGTGGCGCAGCGGTTGAACGTTGGGTTGCGAAGCTGCCCGCGGCCTCTGCGGCGCCGGTTCGATCCCCGGCTGCTCCCCGGCTGCTCCCTGCTGCTCCCCGGCCACAGGAGGAGGGTCCCACATGGCGCGCAGACCTCTTCTGCCGCCCGCTGCTCCCCTCAGCAGTGTACTTCGGTCCTTCTGCCTGCTCTGCTCCCTGCTCTGGCTCTGGTGAATTCTCTCACCCTCCCGTGCCTCTGACTGTACCCAGTGCTTGTATAAATAAATAAAATAAATCTTAAAAAAAAAAAAAAAAAAAAAAGTTCAGTGCCGAGCCTCCCCTGGTGGCGCAGGCAGTTGAGCGCAGCGCGGTGAAGCTGTCCGCAGCCTCTGCAGCGCAGGTTCAATCCCGGCCGAACCGGCCAGCTGGGGAGGGCCCACATGGCGCGGCAGACCTCTCCTGTCTTGCCCGCTGCTCCCCTCAGCAGTGTGTTTCGTCAGTCTGCTTGTTGTGTTCCCTGCTCTGTCTCTGGTGAATCCTCTCACCGTCCCGCGCACCTGGTCTGTACCCCAGTTCTTGTTAAATAAATACATAAATCTTTAAAGAAAAAATAAAAGTTAGTGCTATAAATACTTTTTATACCTTGGTAGAAAGCAGAGAAACTGAAGCAGTTCCTGCCCCCAGATTGGCAGTAAAGGTGCTGAAATGAACAAGATGTGCTGATTTGAATTGTATTAAGAATTTTTTAATTGTTTAAAAAAAAAGAGAGAGAGGAGTGAATGTTTGGTTGGGAGTAGTTTGTGTTGTGAAGAAAGAATAAAATAAAAACTACACAGCAACGAATGGGAAAAAGAATAAAAGACTTTATCATAACCTAGAAAATATAAAAATAAGGAAAGAAACCTGAAAATTGCAAGCAATTAACAAGCAAATGAAAAGTTCTACTGAATATTAAATAAATCTGCCAAGCCGATTCACTCAGACTAGCTTTTGGTGAAAAGGGGCTTCACACTCAACTGGTACTGGAGTCTCTCTGGTCCGAACACACCACTTTCAAAACTACAGGGAGCCCCTAGTACTTGTCTCCAGGCCTCCTCCTTCCAGTACTATGAGTACATCATAGTATAGGAAATTTTTAAATTGAAGATCCCTCTACTCACGATTTACCACCTGACGTAGCACCACAGGGATGCCGCTGTTCTGTCACACAGGCAATCTTGGCTAAAGAAAAAAAAATTCCCCTTCTACCAAGATAGCTGATGCTCCACGGCTGCTGGGCAGTAAAGTGTCTGTTTGAATGAGGTATTAGGGAAAGATGGTTCTGTGTGGGATTTCTGTAGGATGGAGATACAGAAGGGTCCATTTTTGTGTTCAATGATCTCAGTTCAGAAAGGATGGTGACTACACAGCAATTCTAGATAAAAGAAGCACATAAACCGTTAAGAAGTGCTTGTTAGAGTAACACTCAAACTAACTACAAGGAGGGTCCGGGTCCAGCAGGCAGCTTCATTTGTGCTCAGAGAAGTAGTCTGCCTTTGCTTTGTCAGTGAGGGGATGAAACTGAAGATGGGTGATGGTGGTTGTATATGTGGTTGTATATATTCTAAAAAGAATTTGGGGGGAAACCAAGGGATTAGCTTGTAAATTCCTACAAATATTCCTACAGTTCATCCACTCCAGTCAAAATATAATTAAGACAAGGAAAGACTTAGTTAAAATTTCGTATGAAAGAGAAAACAGGAGATTGAAGAGCATTCTCACAAGTTATTGCACTTGCGTCCTGGAAGAAACTCAAACTATTCCGAGAAAAATTTCAGCCCCCCAATGTACCTTCCTTCCAGGTACATTTCCTGATTGGGTTCCCTAACCCTCTAAGAAAACTGCTGCATCTTTGTTAGGTTAGTGCTAAAAGGGGATCATCCTTCATTGGGTATCTCTGCCCTCCTAGGGCATAACCTCAAACTTTCTGCTATTACTCTGATCAGAAGCCTGATCGGCAATGATGCAAGGAGGATTTACCTGAAGGACAGAAAGAAGAACGTGCAATACTCTAGGTAATTAAAATTCACTTCTGAATCAATTCGGAGCACACAACCTACTACATAGCCACAAAACCGCGGTCAGTGATGAGCTCTGCGATTCTGTCACAGTTGACACGGACTCTAAGAGGAGGCAGAAGGGAAACTTCCTATCGTCATCACTGAGAAGAGATGACCACGGACTAGGTCTGGGTGGGGCCGGGGATCTTCGAATACGCTTCCCAGAGATGCGGACGCTTCCCAGAGATGCGGACGGCAAGCTGGCGATCACCGCCCCGCTTCACAGAATGCCCGAGGGCCGTTCGGACGGTTGCCACCTCACGACACGGGGTCCCCTCCGACAGAAGCTGCACGGGAGGCATCTCCCTGGCCGACACCTTGAAACTTGCAACTGCCGGGGCGCGGCCAAACCCGCCGCTCCCTGACCACGGGCGGCACCCAGAGGCCCGCGGCGGGTGCCCGTGGGGGTGGTGGGAGGCGCACGGGCACCGCAGCCAGAGCCCGGGTTTAAATCCCAGCACACTCGGGTGCGTCACGTTTCTCACCGACAGCAGGAGGACGCGTCCCTCACCAAGCAGCCGTGAGAACTACGGAGACCAACGTGTGAAATAAACGCCTGGGCCGGAGTCCCGGCTCGTCCGAGCTGGCCCGGGGCGGCATGAGACAGGGCTCCCCATTATTCCGCGCCCCGGCGTGCGGCTCCCACTCTCCCCAGCCCGGACTCCTCCCGCTCCGTTCGGTCGGGCCGAGGAGCCCAAGCCCCCGCGAGGCCGGCCGGGGCGGGGGGCGCCGTCCACACCCGCGCCCTCCCCCGTCGCCCCCGCCCGCCCCCGGCACTCACGACCCCGGCCGCGCCGTCCCGGCTGCGCGCCCCCCGCTTTGTCGGGGCGCCCCGCGGCGCCAGGCCCGGGGGCGCCGTCCCGCCCGGCTCACCTGCAGGCGGTGGCTCTTGACCAGGTGCATGTTGAGCGCGGGGCCGTTGGGCAGGATCTTGCCGCAGCCGCGCACCGTGCACAGGATGTTGGTGCGCACCGCCCGCGACAGCTCGCTCACCGACGGCTGGATCAGCTCGCGGGCCGGCGGCGCCGGACCCGGGGGCGGCTGCTGCCTCGCCGTCGTCGCGGGTCCTGCGCGGCGACCCCTCAGCCGTCCGGGGGGCCCCCACGGGCCCGAGGCGGCGGCGGCCCCCCTCGCGGCCGCCGGGACGGCCGAGGCGCCCGAGGCCAGAGCCGCGGGCCCCGCCGCCGCCGCCTCAGAAGCCGCCATGGCTCCGCTCGGCAGCCGGGCCGAGCGCGCAGGTCCCGCCTCCCGCCGCAGCCACTTCCGGTAGGGGCGGGGCCAGCCGACTCATTAGCATCCGGCCGGCCGGCCGGCGGTGCCCGCGGCGCCCCCTAATGGCCGTGGAGGGCCGTGGAGAACCGAGGCCAGGTGAAGCCGGCCAGTGGCACAACTTGACCTGGGTTCCTGAGAACGGGTTACAGGCACCGGTGCTGCTGATTGAGTCTTTTGCCTTCCTAGGAACTTGAAGAGTGAGAGAAGAAAAGTTCCTGTGCTGGGTCTCCCCGGCGGCGCTGCGGGTTGAGCGCGGCGCTGTGAAGCTGTCCGCAGCCTCTGCGGCGCGGGTTCCATTTCTGGTCGGCCAGGGAGATACCCACATGGCGCGGCAGACCTCTCCTGTCGCGCCTGCTGCTCCCCTCAGCAGTGCTTTAGGTCTGTCTGCCTGTTCTGCTCCCCACTCTGTCTCTGGTGAATCCTCTCACCCTTCCATGCCTCTGGCCTGTACCCCAGCTCTTGTATAAATAAATCTTTAAAAAAAAAAAAAGTATAGTGCTCAGGTACTTCCCAATTTTTGGAAACAACCGAAGTGTTCAAGAGCAGGAGAGGCGATAATTGTACATTTATTACATTACCGTTTATTACTGGGGGGATACACTTTTCATTTTGCACCTCATTTTTGTCCTCAAAACAACCTTAGCCGGTACATACTATAAGTTTGTCCCATTTTGCAGAGAAGTAACTTACCCTGGGTCATATTACACAAATGAAATGATTGCTGTATTCATTTAGGAAGGCTAGATTTACTTGCTTATGTTTCAGCAGCTGAAACTGGATATGCATATAAAATAAAAACACTTAGCACAGTACCGGCCACATACTAAGTGCTCATTTTTAGAGATCCTACCTAATGCACAGTAAACTTCTTTGGCTGCAGAGGTCCTGCATGTGCATTTACTACTCTGTTCCCAAGACTGCATTTGAATGCAGTGTCTCCGGAGCATCAAGCACACAGACTTCTTATCTCCTTAAGGATGCAGCCTCAGTGACGCTACCATAGGCTAGATAATACAATTTGTGTCTTTCTTATTTTGGCTCCAGTTGCTCATCCTTGCTAAGCACTAATAGGGAGGGTCTGACAGCCTGGGGACTTGCAAGGACTCTGTGCAGACCTAACAGAGGCACTGAGGCACCAAGAGCCTACTGAATGTGTGCAAACAGGGGCAGGTACTCTGAACGATTATGATAGTTGGCAAGGAAATTAACATTACTAAGTCCTACAGACTCAGTGCCTCACTCTGTAATAACTGAAGTATCTATGTCATGAGCTAATTAAATCTAAAACATATTATTTTACATCTCTACAACCTGTAGACAATACTATCACACCTAATTGTTTAGCCCCCTTATGATATACTTGTACATCTGTGTTTTGAGCCTGTGATTGTCATCAAAAGTAACAGATGTGGCAACTTTGAAGTATCTTAATTCACAAATTGGTGTTTTCTTCTGTTTGGTCACTGGCTAATAACTCCACTCCCAATTTTCAGTCTTCTTCTAGCAGCTGGATGAGTACCTCTACATCCTTCAATACTAATTTTACCCCTAGCTTTATTTTGTCATCCCATTTGCCCAGATTCATTCACTTTTTTTTTTTAGAAAATATTTATTTATTGGGCCTCCCCGGTGGCATAGCAGGTTGAGTGCCATGCTGGAAAGCTGTCCACAGCCTCTGCAGAGCTGGTTCGATTCCCGGCCAGTCAGGGAGATTCCCATATGGCGTGGCAAACCTCTCCTGTGGCGCCCTCTGCTCCCCTCAGCAGTGTCTTTGGTCTGTCTGCCTGTTCTGCTCCCTGCTCTGTCTCTGGTGAATTCTGTCACCCTCCTGCACTTCTGGCCTGTACCCCAGCTCTCGTATAAATAAATAAATCTTAAATAAAATAAAATATTTATTTATTTATGAATACAAGAACTGGGGTACAGGCCAGAGGTGTGTGTGTGTGTGTGAGGATTAACCAGAGAAAGTGTGGGGAGCAGAACAGGCAGCTCTATTGACATACACTGCTGAGGGGAGCAGCGGGAGAGACAGGAGAGGTCTGCTCTGCCATGTGGGTCAGATCCCTGGCCGGGGATCGAACTTGTGCTGTTGTGCTGCGAATAGGTTGTGTCTTAATCCCTTACGCCACCAGGGAGTTTCTTCTTCACCTTTTGATAATTGTAACATGTTTATAACTATCTTGGTATATCTATCTTGTTCTGCAAAGGAGTTTATAGCCCTAACCCTTTGCAGAAGAGGAGAGGGACTATATTTAATGTCATTACAAAAGGACATTCTATTTAGTTATGATCACTGAAGAACTTTCATCAAAAGTGACTGAAGTACCAGTTTTTAAATATCTTTATTCAAAAGTCCATATATAAAATTGGTCAGTCTGAATGCCACATATATGATAAAACAGAACAGGAAAAGTTTTTACAACAAAACAAGTATTTCATAGAACTGAATCATCTGATATATTACTCTGGCAATCAAAATTTAGTTGGCCCAAGTTTACCCTCTGAATTGGACCAATTAAAGGATTCTCCTAGAAAATTTTAAGTTGGGTACAGTTTTGTGGTTCTTTTTGTGATCCAAGGCTTAAGAGTAAATTCTTAGAAACCAACAATTGGAATCAGGTCTTCCCAGGATTGAGGAGAGACAGGCATGGATAGGACACTGGATATATAAACCAGTGTGTGACATGCTTTACTCCAGAGCATTCAGATTCAAGGTCAAGTCTGGAGCCATCTGTCTATATATCCTCGTACATCTTAAAGGCCCACACTGTTATGCTTTGCAGGATACAGTGGAGAAGGGGACATACCAAGGAGTAGGAAAGAACCAGTTCCAACAGCTATGTGAACATTTAATTGTCAATATTAAGGATTAATTTTATAATACAAGTTTATAGACAGCAGTTATCCAGTTAGTCCTTAACTGAAATGTGTGCACAATAAAGGAGCTGTTGTGCTTACAATACCACACACACCTTATTTATCTCTAATTTTAAAATAATTCATGCCCTTGTTGGGTATGCAAGTGAGCAGTGGAGAAAGTGGTGCATCTGCAATACCTGAAATTAAAAACAGAGAAAAGAATAAAATAAATAATTATAATGGGAAAGATTTGGGTTAGTTTAAAAATGGCCATGATTAGGGAGGGTCATGGATGCCTATTAAGCCAAGAAGCAGGATATGCAAAATAAGGCATGGTGGGATAGCTGCCTGGAACCCATGAGAAAGCTCAGAGATCATTAGTCAGCAAAGGAAGGATCAGCTACAGTATATTGTTACTTCTTTTATTTACCAGCTGGTGCTAAGGTTTTCAATGCTTCCAGAAGATGTGGGCTAGAGAACTTTATTAGGCACCGGATGGGCTCCTCTCTCTCAGCCAAGATGCCTCCATTTAAGTCACTTTTGAATTTCGTTTCAAGCTGTCAACAAATATATTTATAAACGACTATTACATATATCATTTGGAATGGCAAAAATGTGATGCAATCAGATTTTGCTAATAGCAAACATGGAAGACAATCGTACGTTAATAACACACAAAATGTCAAGCGTGCATGGGCCCTGACACACAGGAGACCCTGGATGTCAATTCTGCCCTCAGATACCCTTTACCTGAGCATTAAGTTTGCATTCTTAATGGAAAGGGAATCTGTCATTTCAAAATAGAAATGTCATGTCTTTTGAGCCGTGATTTCTTTTTAATTTTTTATTACAGAGGATTTCAAAAATATGCAAAAGTCAGGAGCACAGTATAATGAGTCCCATGTGCACATCACTCAGCTGAAATAATCATGTTTGTTTCATCTCTTATCCCACTTCCCACTCCTACTGCTCAACCCGAGTGGAGTATTTTGAAGAAAATCCAAGACATTATAGTATTTCAGCTATAAATATTTTAGTATATAAGAGAACCTAAAAAAGAGCTCTTTTAAAAACTTAACCTCCATAACCATTACCACAGTTAACAATATTAGTAACAAGTCCTTACTATCATCAAATATCCAAGTTCTGTTGCTTCAGTAGGTACTTGGCTCTTAGCTTCTAATTTCAGATTTTTTACTTAAAGTGATCCTTAAAGTTTAAGAGTGGTAAGCAGAAGAGTGTGTTATCTTGGCAGCTCACTCAGATGGCTTAGAATAATGAGTGATTAGGAAAGAAAACAAATGTGGCAAAATGTTAACAGTTGGTGAATTGAAACGGAAATGCACTTCTATGGCAATCCTACTTTTCATAATAGAAAAGGTAGGGAAAAAGTAGTATCAGGGATGAGCAAATGTGCACCCTGACTTGCAAGCTACAGCGATTCTGAGATGTGTATGAGGGGAAGTTTTGCTGATTGAATTTTACATATTCTAGATCAGCAGTTCTCTCATTTCAGTGTGCGCAATCAGCTAGAGGGTTTGTGAAAACAGATGGCTGGGTCCCATCTCCAGAGCTCCTGACCCACTAGGAGTGGTGTGTGACCAAGAATCTGCATTTCTGAACCATTTCCAGGTGATACAGATACTGCTGATCCAGGAACCACACTTGAGGAACCGCTATCCCAGAATATAAGCTCTTTAAAGGAACTGGGTGAAAACCTGCCATCCAGGAAACCCAATTTGAAAGGTGTCAGCTAGCTTTTCCCACTAAAAACGAATCCAGTGGATATTAAGCCTGAGTGAGTGCATGGAAGGCAGCATTAAAGTGTGGCCAGCAGCTACAGAAAGGTGAAGCAGAAGGAGTTTTATTGGAGGGCTTTTGGGGGCGGGTGTGTGAGCATGGACTTAGGGTGATGATATAAACCTTGAGTTTTGCTAGGGGATAGCCTTTACCTGGCCTTCCTGGTGGGCAGCATCACACTTCTGTAACAGTAGCATGTTTGCAGTACTGACTAGGCTACTGGTTTTTCTCCCTGTGATGCCAGCTGGGCTATGGAATGATTTATTTATTAACTTTTTCATTCAGCAAGCATTATGAGCCCTGACTATGTGCAAGTATTGGTCTAGATGTGGATTTTCTGGACTAGAAAGGAATACCTACAATTTTTTCCCTTAAACATACAGACCAGTCAGTTATACATAACTGAATTAATATGTAAAGTGAACAAAAAGGCAAATTCAAAATTTCCAAAGGTCTCCTTTGCTAATGAGAACTTGAAAATATGATAAAGAAGTCTATTTTATCTCATAAATTTCTATAATATTAAAGTGATGAATGAAAAAAATGAAACATTTTTTCTTAGAACTGTTCTCCTCTAAAAGTTTTGTTTTTTTTTTTGGTAAAAAATATTGATAATTTATAGTTAATGTTGATAGTTATGCCCTACCTTATATTGTGCAAATTCCAGTCTTGGTTGAGGATAGTCTCCAAAGGTTTCTTGGGTCACTCTTTGGACTCTCTCTTTTTCTATTCTGTTTTCATGAATGATCCTCGAATCCACTACAGATGGAAGATTCCAAAAGAAACAGCTGTTAGGGATATATTTCATCCTTAAAGTAATTTACTTTTATTCCTAACCTTTCAACTTGTTTGTATAATTTAAAAATAATTGCAGTTTCTTCTCTTGATTGTAATCATTTCTTATTATGGAAAACACAGGCTGATTGAAAAAAAGAAAAGAAAAATCACACATAATTCTACCACAAAAATATAACCGTTAACTGTTTTAATGTTTCTGTCTAGCCCTTTACTTCAATGAATAAAAAGATATCTATTTTTTAAACTGGTTTTATAAAACACACATAATTTTGTACCCTGCTTTCTTTACTTAACATGAATTCACTAGCAGTTTTTATATTACTGGAGTCATAAAAACATTTCTTTCCTTCATTCCATTGCCAAGTACTGCTGATAGGAAAATTTTCAGTTTTATGAATCTGTATCGTACCCCACTATTTCTCTCAACTTTTGGATCCACTCTAATACTTTCTCACTCCATTCTCCTGGGTTTTCTAGGGAGATACATGGTATTAGTGAGTAATGACCAGTCACAATTCTGTTATTCAAGTGGTTAACGCAGTATATTAAGTGCTGGCTGTGGAAGCAGACAGATTCAGATTTCATGCTTGGTTTTGCCAGTTCCTAGCAGTATGAATTTGCCTAGCAAGTTATTAACCCTCTTTCACACCCAGTTTCCTGATGAATAGGGCTACTGTGAAGCCAATACACACAGATATCTTAGTGGGGTTCTTGGCGCAAAAGAGATGCTCAGCAACTCTTGGAGAATTTTGTTTTTGTTGTTATTATTAGATGCCATTCTAGTAAGTTCTAAAAGAGACCACCGGTAGCTTAGCTTTCTTCCTTCAGTGGAAACTTAAAATTTCAGTTTTCCTGAAAGCAGTAAATAAACCTAGCACAAAAATATTTTACTGAATGACAGAAATCTGAAAAGGACAGGACTTCCAAATTTCACTTTTATATTCAAACACATACTATTCATATCTAGCCCGAGGCTTCTTTCTTGTTGAGATGTAGTAGAGCTGTGAGTTTCAAACGTCTAGGAAAAAAAATAAGAAAGTGAATGTCTTGCTAATTTTAATACCTTGAAGTATAACCATTAAACGGTTTTAGTATGTCATATCTGATTTCTACCTTTCCCAACAAAAAGAAATCTGCGTCACATTCACAATGAGTGATTATTTCTCCTAGAGCAGAAGACTGCTGGCAGACTGTGGGGGCCAGCAACATGGCTATTTTGTTTGAGGAGCTCTGCACTTTAACAGAACCATGGATGTGGGAGAAGTATAGGTGGTAGGTGCAAAAGCTAGGAGACTCAATGGCAGTGGTACACTGTAATGGCTCAACTTCGCAGCTAGGTCTTTAGAACTGTAAGAAACTCACTGAGATTCCATTTGGAAAGATAACTTTCGGACTCTCAACCCTCTTCTCTCACTATCCCCCACTGAAGCTATTTTACTTTATACAATTGTTTGACAAGGTAATTTTTTTCTAGGAATTGAATGGTCAGAAAAGTCGGTATCAATTTAGTGGGAGGGTGCTGGGACGGCGCGGGGTTAAAGGGGTTGCTATGTGAGAAAATCATCACCTAACTTCTTGAAGGTAGATTTTTTTTTTCCCCCTTAATGAGTTGCCTACAGAGCACCATTGCTTCTATCTACTTAGAATAGATGACATTAAGTATGTATATCTGACAGCTCAGAGATAGATACAGAATATTAATGATCGTCTAAACATGTGAACACATAGAGCCCATAGAGAGGAAACAAAATGTTGAGCCTTGAATATTCTCATTAGAGGGTAACAATGCACTCAGATATTTTAACAAAATATCTGTGGTTTCCCCGCCTTAACCCTTGAATCACCTTCTTGGCTGATGGGACAAATAAATTACTTCTACTTTTCTCTTGCATGAATAATATATAATTAGCTTTGAAAGAAAGTGTCAAGTTACTCTTAAGAGAAAATAAATTCTTACTGGAATCACTGATTTAGAAATGGGTCTAGAACATGGAGTTCAATGAGCAATAAGCACTGTAAAACACAAAGATGAAAAGAGAGATATTGTTTCCTTTCATATTAACTAACTGAAATCTTTCTCCACTTAGTAATACTGAAGTGATCTTCTTTACTGGAGGTGAACTTTCCAACCTGCTCAGTGACTTCTAAATCATATGTGAAAAGGAAAATGGAGACTTCATTTTAAAGAGTCACCGATTGTCTCACCTGATTATACTGTTTAAAAACAATAGCCTTAAGAGAGTCCAGATATCGGCTTCTGAGGTCCATTTTCACAATCTGATGGTGTTTGCTAGCAATTGTTAATGCCTTGAAAGGAAAATGAGAAGAGTATTAGGATTGCCATCCCCATATTTATATTTGTGCAAGTAAAATGTAGAAGCCGTAATGAAGTTTCCACTTAAGACTGAAACGAAATCCAGAAAAAATTTAATCTTAGGCCTGTTACTCAGCTTAAAAAAAACAAACAAACAAACAGAAAAAGTGGCTTATGGCATTAAGACCCTTAAAGGCAGTCTTTTTAACCAGTAATTGGTTCCATACCTGGCCCAAAAGGGGTATAGTACTCTTCAGAGAGGTGGCAGAAATGAAGGCATAAGGAGTCTGGGAATAATACACCATGTAAGTAGGCTTGTACTGGTTTGGCTTTTTATACTGTGTTCCCCAGGCAATTCGAATCCACACTGCATCGTCCTCAGCATCTCTGAAGCTGACCGTCACCTTATTGAAAGAAGATTTAAGTTTCCCAATGAGAAATTTCACTGTGGCAGTGCCCACAGGTGCCTTTTAGGGGGAAGGACATTACTATAATCTTGTATACATTGAGATCTGAAAGTCTTTTCTACTTTTCATTATAGTGTTGGGGGTGGGGGTGAGGTCTCTGGGAAATATTTTGTTGTTGTTTTGTAAAGATGTATCTATACCATGCTGTCTTCAGGAAGAAAAAAAAAATTAGAAATCTGAAATTGGTATGACATCAATAATTTCTTGGGCTTGCCATAATAAACTGTTTCTCCATCTGTCTGTTTCTGAGGGCAGACTTACAAATGAGATGCATTCTTTATAAGGAAGCTTTTTCAGCATTGAGTACAGACCTGGTGTGCACTATAAAAAACTTTATAGTAAGATTTCTGTGTAGTAATGGGCTTAAATGTGCATAGGCATTTAGCTCAGATGGTTAAAAACTTTCTTTTTTTAACTTATTTATGCATATAAGAACTGGGGTGCAGGCCAGAGGTGTGGGGGTATGTGTGAGAGGATTCACCAGAGAAAGACTGTGGGAGCAAAACAGGCGGATCTACTGAAATACACTGCTGAGGGGAGCAGCTGGAGTCAGGAGAGGTCTACTGTGCCATGTGGGTCACCTCCCTGGCTGGGGAATGAACTCATGCTGCAGAGGCTGCAGATAGCTTCATAGTGTGGTGCTTAAACCCTTGTGCCACCAGGAAGGCCCTGGTAAAAACTACTCTAAAGCAAAGTTCTATGGTGAGACTACAGGAAGCTCTCTTTGGTTTTCATTTAATGAATAAAACACACTGTTCTACACTCTTTAAAATTTATTTATTTATTTATTTATTTATTTTTAAAGATTTATTTATTCATGCATACAAGAACCGGGGTATAGGCCAGATACACAGGAGGCTGAGAAGATTCACCAGAGACAGAGCAGGGAACAAAACAGGCAGACTGAAATACACTGCTGAGGGGAGCAGTGGGCGAGACAAGATAGGTCTGCTGTGCCATGTGGGACTCTCACTGGCCGGCTGGGATTGAAATGGTGCTGCAGAGGCTGTGGAGAGCCTCATAGCACTGCGCTCAACTGCCTACGCCACCAGGGGAGGCCATGTTCTACACTTTTAAATAGGATTGCCAATTGTTTGAAATTCAATAGGCCATTCTAACATTATTAGTTTCCCCGTGGATTCAGCTTCTCCTTGGAGCTTGGACCCTGAAGAGGAGATACTTGAGACAGGTGTTCTTGGCTTGCCCAGGTCTCTCTACTTCCTCCCCGCTGGCTGTTATAGGAGCAAAGAAGGCAGTTTCTTTGACTCTACTTTTATTGGCTTTATTCCAAAATTCCCTTGGTGCATCAGACAAGACCCCCTTTCCAGAGATGTGGTGTGGTATCTGTCCTTCCTGAATAAGCTGCACCATGCATTGTCCAACAGGTGCTCAGCAGACCTCTATTGGCCTGAATGGAAGAGAACAGGCTCTTATTCTGAACAACCTCTTCGTGTCATGTTACACCACCAAATATGCCTGCAAAATCTAGCCTGAATGCAGGAAATGAAGGGCATGCTTTACTAGATGGAGAGAATTGGTAGTATTCAACATATTTGCGTAGTCTCTTTAGCCCAGAATGAGGGTCCTTTAAATGGGGGCTAATGGAGGGTCTGTGGCCTCCTTGAATCTAGGCACAGTTGTGTGTGTGTGTCTACGTGTAAGCTTTTCTTGGGAGAAGTGCCAGAGTTCTTAACATTTTCACATATCCTGCCATTCCAAAATGGTTAAAAATCAATGGGCTAAGAAAAACATGTCCACTGTGGGTGCTACAAGGACATAGGATGTATCCCAAGCACTGAACGGTCACTGTAAGAGAGGCAGTGACAGCCTATGTTCAGTGACAAGTGGGCAAGCAGAGAGGACGCAGAAGTTACAGACAGGGCAAGGAGATGGAAAGACAGGGTCAGGGGTCTGGGTGACAAGGGAGGGACACTGCTACTTGAGAGAGGATGGTTAGAGCATGGTCAGTGTGACAGAGGTTTGGCCTGCCTTTATAGGCAAGGAGGGTGAAGGTGGACTTAGGAAGGAGGAGAACGAGGCAGGGAGGCTGTTCAATGGAATGGCAACTAACGACAGTGCTGCACCGACTGGCCCCCTGGCTCTTGGCTAGCTTCCCTATGGCTAAATGTTTGGATAACAGTTGAGTCACTCAGTCATGCTGCAAGCGCTCAGTAGTACCTCGTGTGGCCGCTGGCTGGTGTCATACAGCAGCGACATAGAACCTGTCCATTGTGCAGAGTTCTGTTGGATAGTGCTGCTCTTCTAGAGGCATCTGTCTTTGAATTGAGAGGTGAGAGGGAAGTTTTCCTTGGAAATAGAATTTGTCTTTGATATGGAATAGAACAGTATGGACTGTTACTAAGGGAAATTCTCGCCAAAAATAAAAAAAAAAGTGGTAGTGAATATTAAGGACAAGAGAGGCCATGATATTGAATTTCATGACAATTCAGATAAATTTTGTTCTTACATTTTTTAATGCTCTCTGAAGAACTCTCTTAAATGCCCTTTTGAATTGTTCCATATCAAAAAGATCAATGTCTGCACCTGTCAAAGTGAAAAGAAAAATCAAGGGAGCTACAATGTCTTCAATAAATACATCTGCAAACAGTCCCCCGGTAAGTACCTTGTCCAGCTTCAGAGCAGGAATGATCAAATCAATCAAATGCTCTGACCCAGCACCCCCAATACAGTTCTCATTTTCTCATAAGACAGTAATAATCACCTCCTTTTGGAAGAATAGAGATTTGAGAGGCACCTGCTGCTAAACATCTTTAAATCACCAAAATATCATATACTAATGTTCAGTTTAATATCGAAAACACAAAAATAAGAAAAAAAATTTTAAAAAGGAAAAGATTACCTGGTCCTTTACTCAGCTGAAAAACATCCCAAACTTTCTGGTGCTGATGAAACTGAGTATCTGAGAGAGGGAGGAAGAGCTTATTGCTAGAAGCAAAATACTTTCAAGTAGTGTGATTATAAATGTGATGATAAATATATATTTTCCATAATATGAAACCAGAGAGAATAATAGCAATTCACAAATTAGGTTACATAGTGTTTCATTCAAAATATAAATTTCATATGGATTAAATTTACTCCAGACAAATAAGACAAATCTGAATCACCCTGTGTCATGGACGTCTAGCATCTGGTCTGCTTCCACAGAATGCCGCATTTATCCAGCACACCATGATGACCTGCTCCCTCAAACTGGTGGTTGCCTCACTATCCCCTTCTCTGGAGCCCCCTTCTCCTAGCACGTTGCCCATCTCCACTAACACGTTACCTATGCAGGTTGGCCCACCCTGATCATCCATCGCAACCCACCCTGCTTTGGTTTCCTTCAGCACACGTGTCACTTCCTGACTTCACACCACACGCTTAGGTGTTCATTGTATATTGCTTGTTTCCCTAACTAGAACTCCTTGGTGAAGAGGACTTTGTCTTCTTCACTGTTGTATTCCCAGTGTGAGCCACTGGTGGGAATTAAGCAATCACTCCATACATATGTGGTATCTCCCTCCCCCAGGTAGGGTGCTGGTCTGGCAGTTCTTGATTATCTAGTTTCGCTACAACAGATGTAATCCATCACAATGGGATGCTTGCCCAGGGGATGGCATCCAAAGGATTTTTGTCTCTTCCTGGTATTTTCTTACTTGGTTCTATTTTCTTACTTGGTTTCAGACTTAACTTGGCCTGTTTTTTTTTTTTTTTTTTAAAGATTTATTTATTTATTTATTTATACAAGCACTGGGGTACAGTCAGAAGCACAGGAGGGTGAGAGAATTCACCAGAGCCAGAGTGGGGAACAGAACAGGCAGAATAACGAAATACACCGCTGAGGGGAGCAGTGGGAGAGGCAGGAGAGGTCTGACGCACCATGTGGGACCCTCGCTGGCGGCCGGTGATCGAACTGGTGCTGCAGAGGCTGCAGGCAGCTTTGCAGCCCAGCGCTCAACCGCTGCGCCATGGGGGAGGCCCTTAACTTGGCCTGTTATCTGACCTCTGATTAAACTTGTTGTAGTAACAGTGGAAACTGTAAAAAAGTTTGTTGTTAATCACGCCACTAAACATCCTCTCAAGGTTTATGAGGAGTAGCCAGGACTTAAACACAGATGAAGACATTTATCAAATAAGAATCTGTTTGAGACTAGTCTGTGATCTCTGTGACACACTTGGTCCCTGTCTCAATGAGGGACTGCACTGCACTGCCTTCTAGTTGCACAGGCAGATCCTTGAGCAGTGCCTGGTCCCCCCACTTACCCCCACAGGACCATGCCACATGCAAGTCCTGTCCGTTTTAATCTTTACATTTCTTGGCCCCATGTGCTTCTGTCCCTCCCACCTCTACTATCTTACCCTTTATACCATCAACTGCTTGGTCCACTCCAATGACTCCTAAAGGTCTCTCTTCAGTCTCTCTGGTCTGTCTCTGCACTGTAATCAGAGTCTTTGACAAAACAAATTCTAATTCTTTCTTACTCATAGTTCTTGAAAGGTTTTGCATTCTTCTCAGGAATAAGACCAAATCCCTCAGGTGGCCTCTACACCTCTAAGGCTCACGTAAACTGGCCTCTCCTTCATCATTGAGCTCCTGTCCTCCATCTGTTCTCAGTTCCTGGGCACTGTCCCTCATGCTCGAGACTTCTTTACACCATACCCTTAACTCCTCCTGCTTCTTACCCACCCTTCTCTCCTTTGCCTCATTAATGCCAACACAGCCTCTGACTGGCAGCTCAAGTGTCATCTCCGGGAAGTCTTTCCTACTTCTGAGTACAGAAGCTCCCACTATGCTTTCATAACTCCCTTCTATTTTGTTGTAACACTTATTACAATCTGCAGAATGCATTTGTGTGACTAACAAACTTGTTTTTCCACAAGACTGTGATCTCTTAAGAAAGTGAAACCGCCTCTGTTTGGCTCACCAGTGCTGAGCACACAGCCTGGCACACAATAGATACTTAATGAATATTAGAATATGTGCATGAGAAGTGGAACGATGTGCATGCTCCTTTTATGTCCTAGATATAATTCAATCACTAAAAATCAGACAAACTGAGGCCAATGTGTCAATAAATTCGACAATGTCATAATTGGAATGCAGTATAAAGAGATTTGTGCTACACTTCCATAGAAAACAATCAAAAAGAAAATAGTTAATAATTTATAAACAGCAGGTTTTGTTCTAAGCCCTTGACCTGCACTCTTATTTTCTCCTCCCCATAACCTTATGGGACATTATGATGATAGAAGTTTGTCGGATGGTAACACCAAGGTGCAGAGGTGGTCACTACCTTCCCCCACACTCACAGGGAGGCTGTGAAGTAGCCTTGAATGGAACCCGAGAAATCTGGCTTTAGGCATCTATTCTTAGCCTTTATGCCATGTTGTCTTTTGGAGAGAAAAACAGATTGCAAAAAAAAAAAAAAAAAAAAAAAAAAAGAGGGGCCTCCCTGGTGGCGCCAGGACAGCACAGTGAAGCTATCTGTAGCCACTGCAGCATGAATTCAACCCCCTGGCCAACCAGGAGCTACCCACATGGCACAGCAGACCTCTCCTGACTCGCTCGCTGCTCCCCTCAGCAGTGTATTTCAGGCAGTCTGCCTGTTCTGCTCCTCACTCTGTCTCTGGTGAATCCTCCCACCCTCCCACACCTCTGGCCTGTACCCCAGTTCTTGTATGCATAAATAAATAAATCTTAAAAAAAAAGTCAAACCAAGATACGAAAGGAGAAAATGAAAGGGGATAAAAGGGAGGAGAGCAGTACTGTAATAAGAACAAATTGTAAGAAATATATGTTCAGATTTTGTAATAATTTTAGAAAGACTAACAAATATTTCCTAGGTGTTAGTTACTGTGCTAAGAGCTCTTCGAATATTATCTCATTTCACCCTCAGAAGGATCCTGTGAGGGCCTCCCCGGTGGCGCAGTGGTTGAGTGCTGGGTTGCAAAGCTGCCCGCGGCCTCTGCACCACCGGTTCGATCCCCGGCTGCTCCCCGGCCACCGGAAGAGGATCCCACATGGCGCGCAGACCTCTCCTGCCGCCCGCTGCTCCCCTCAGCATTGTACTTCAGTCCTTCTGCCTGCTCTGCGCCGCGCTCTGGCTCTGGTGAATTCTCTCACCCTCCCGCGCTTCTGACTGTACCCAGTGCATGTATAAACAAAACAAACAAACAAATAAAATAAATAAAACATGCCTCTATAAAAAAAAAAAATTAAATAAAAAAAAGGTTTAAAAAAAAAAAAAAGAAGGATCCTGTGAAGTAAGTACTCCTATTCTTTCCATATTACTGAGAACTCTGGGGCTTAGGAAGGTGCTATAACTTGGCCGAGGAGACAAGACTGGTAAGTGACAGAGCTGGGATTTGAAAGCAGGACTTCTGATTCCAGAAGATGAGCCCTTACAAACTCACTCTCTGATAAAAATGGAGTGGCTAAAGGTAAATATAAATTATTATAACTTACAGATGATGTCTAAAAGTGCCACATCATTAAGACTTGCGCGCTTTTCCTAAAAGTGAAGATAAATGATTTCATAAATGTAGTGACAGCTTTGTTCCACCCCATTGACAGCACATTTTTAGTATTGCTTAGCCCATCCACCCCCAGTTCATATCCTGACAAAGGCAAAACTGTTATCCAACAATCTACTCATTTATCACTTTTAACATGATGTTTTTCAATCAACTTCAAGATAATTGACATATAATAAACAACACTTATTTTAAGTGTAAAAATTGATTAAGTCTTGACATATGGATGTACCCATGAAACCATCACCACAGTGAATATACCCACCAAATCCCCAAACTGTCTCCTTTCTTCAACCCCTCTTCCACCCTTCTCCTTTGTCACTTCTCTCCCCCCAGCCTCTGGTCTCAAGGCAACCATGGATCTGATTTTTGTCATTACAGATTATTGCATTTTCTAGACCTCATCATTTCACAGCTTAGCAGCTGCCTTAAATAGGAAGGCTGGAAGGCAGGAAGGAAGAAAGGAAAGAAGGAAGGAAAAAACCATGATGTTTCAGGTTAATCATTTTGAATATGGGCACCTCACAAAGCAGAAGCAAGTCCTGGACAAGACATTCCTTTTTCTGCCGGAAGTTTATAGACTGCAACTGATTCTCAGACAAAAAATCCCAGGCACTTAGGATGGTCATCATTTCAGTCAATGGGATTTTCAAGATGGTCCTCTTGAGAAACTCAGCAGTATTTTCATCCATCTCTTTGGCACTTTAATAAAAATAGTACAACAAAGTATTAACCAAATATAAAAGTTAAACATAACTCTGAATTTTTAAGCATCAGATTTTTTTTGTCAGGATTTTGATGTGCAGGTCCAACACCCAAATGTCTACCTTTTTTCAGATACTCAGCAAACGGTCTTTCAACAGAAGTTAATTATTTTCTTCTCAAACTATATATTTAAGTATGTTTTAGAATTATTAAAAATTAGTGCTCTCCCTCCTTTCTTGGCTAGAGTAGTTTGATCTTTTGATGGCAATGATTTGTATATGACTCAATCATTTACTGGTTCATGTAACAAATTACTGAACACCTATAATTGGGCACAGCTAAATCTTTAACCAAAAAGTCAAAAATCCCTACAGGTATTGAGTGTTCATTGTAGCAGGGTGAGACAGGCAAAAGGAAAATCACAAAAATATATTAAAAGTGCTAAGTGCTGTGGAGATAACATAGTAGTGTTAGCCAACTCTCAGCAGTGAAAATGCAGTAGGTTAGGTAGGGGTGGCATGGTGGGAAGAGTATGCCTCAAAGAGAAGGTGACACTTGAGGGGATCCTTGGAGAGTGAGTCATGTGACTCACTTATGGTAGAACTTTTCAGGCAGAGTGAACAGCATGTGCAAAAGTCATGGGGTCTTGAAGGAACAGAAGGAAGGAGGACTGCAGTGAGGTAGGAGGAGGAAGTGAGGTCAGAGATCATAGAGGGCTCTGAGCGCCACTGCAAGGATTGTAGATTTTACTATGACAGAAATAGGCCACTGGGATATCTTGCCAGAGGTAGGATATGTTGTCACTGGATTGTCTACGAAGATCAATCTGGCTAATATCTGAAAATGCAGTCCAGAGGGCAGTGAGGAGGCTACTCAATAATATAGGTAAAAGATACAGTGAACAAGGTGGGAAGAGATAAGATATGGATCTATGCTTTTAAGAGAGAGCCTGATGGACTTCCTGATGGATTGGATGGATAAGATGTGTGTTGTGAGAGAAAAAGAGGAATCAAAGATGATACAAAGGTTTTTACCAGGCAACCCAAAGAACGGAGATGGAGATGACTGGGGGTTGGAGAGAAGCTCAACACTGCTGTTTTGAAGCTGTAAATTTTAAGATGGTTAGATTCCAAGTAAAGATAATAAATAACCAGCTGGATTTATTAATCTAGAGGACACAATAAAAGCTTGAGGTGGAGAAGGTTGCAGTATCCTTACTTGCATTGTTGCCAATTAACAAAGCTATTATCTCACTTTTTCTGTGCCATGTCTGAAAAAGTTAGTCTTCAAATGTCCAGAAAGTCTTGAGTGCCAAATCTGGTGTGATTCCTTTAGCCACATACATGGGCAATGATTTTCCAGAACATAAAACAGTGATTGTCTTGCACTGTGGCATAGGCTTCTGAAACCTTTTATTAATTTCCTTAGGGCAGATGCTGTGGGCCAAGAGTAACAGCTGATCTCAGCTCTGCTACCTCATTTGGGGACAACAATGGGCCACTTTCTCTCTTTTTAAAAATACAGAACATGAAAAGCAAGCATGATATTACACAGCAAATATTACATGGGATAGCTGCAGATTTTAAATTCCCTGAACAGTTCATCTTCTAGAAAAGAGCAGGTCTGGAAAAGACCTTCATATCTATATTTACAAAAAGAGGCAGAAGTTAGCCTTTCAATTGCGCTGGATTGCAAGACTATGGGATTTCCTAGGACAAACAGAAGTATCTCCTGTCCTGGCTGTGACTCATTTATAACAAATGAATGTTGTTGAACACTATATGTAATTGTTACCTTTGCCCACTTTTGAAAAGACAGCTGGGTGGTCGACTATTGGCGCAGCGGTTGAGCGCTGGGTTGCGAAGCTGCCCACAGCCTCTGCAGTGCCGGTTCGATGCCCGGCTGCTCCCCAGCCACTGGAGGAGGATCCCACATGGCGCACAGACCTCTCCTGCTGCCCGCTGCTCCCCTCAGCAGTGTGCTTCGGTCCTTCTGCCTGTTCTGCTCCCCGCTCTGGCTCTGGTGAATTCTCTCACCCTCCCGCACTTCTGACTGTACCCAGTGCTTGTATAAATAAATAAATAAAATAAAATTAAAAAAAAAAAAAAAAAAAATAAAAAGGTACTAAAAGCAACAGTTAAAAATAAGGAGGCATGGGCCTCCCCGGTGGCGCAGCGGTTGAGCGCTGGCTTGTGAAGCTGCCCGCGGCCTCTGCGGTGCCAGTTCGATCCCCGGCTGCTCCCCGGCCACCGGAGGAGGGTCCCACATGGCGCGCAGACCTCTCCTGCCGCCCACTGCTCCCCTCAGCAGTGTACTTCCTTCTGCCTGCTCTGCTCTCCGCTCTGGCTCTGGTGAATTCTCTCACCCTCTGGCTCTGGTGAATTCTCTCACCCTCCCACGCTTCTGACTGTACCCAGTGCATGTATAAACAAACAAACAAATAAATAAATAAATAAAAACATGCCTCTATAAAAAAAAAATTAAATAAAAAAAATTAAAAAAAAATAAGGAGGCATGATTAGGAGTTGTTTAGAAAGAGAAAAATAAGTCAGTTAAAAATGGGGGAATAGAATCAGGATAATGAACACTGAGCCTGATTCGATTTCTTGAGCAGTTACAGGACCAACCTGCCTTAATGCCAAGACTAAAATCCTCACCATGGTCTAAAAGGCCTGGACTATTTGGTTCTTGCCTCATCTACCTTTCCTTCCCTGACTTTCTTAACTTCGCCTACATTGCCCTTTTAATTCCTCAAATACAAAATGATCCTTCCAGAGAAGGGTCATTGTACCTGTAGTTACTACTACCCAGAAAGTTTTTCTTGCACATATTTACCAGGGAGATGCTTGCTGTAAGTCAGGACTCAGGTTAGATGGCCTTTTTAAGAGAGACTTATGACCACCTATCTAAAGTTATTTTTCACCTTCCACTGCTTATTGTTACAAAGCTAACTGAAATTCTCTTTCTTATTGATAACTTTATTGCTTTATAATATTTTGAGCTCCACTAGGACAGTAACTGTCTTTCATACTGTTAGGGGGAAAAGGATGTCCCAAAGCAAATTCCATATAGGCTTTGTGGACTCCACCCCCACCCCAGGTCAAAGCCAAAGACACTGGGAACTCCAAATCCCATCACCACCAAAGGGAAGGTGGCTGGGACCTGAGGGTGGGGTTAAGCAGCCAGGTGGATACAAAAGGCAGACACGTGGGCTTTGGGGGTCTCTCCATTTTTGGGCTCTTGGCCAGCAGCAGCGTCCGGTCAGCTCTGAGAGTGACTTTGGGGTTTCCAGGTCGTCGGATCGGGTAGGACGCATTAAAGACTTTATTTCCCTATTTTCTCCCTGAGTTGTACATTTTCCTTATTTCCTTTTCTCTTGTAAATAAACCTTTTATTAACCCTTTTGCATGTGTCTGTAGTAGAGTATTCATAAGTCCCTTTAAAGCGCGCGGGTGAGGACCCACAGCCAGGAACCCGTTTAATATCGGGGTTGCTCTATAACAATACCTGTATCCCTAGAGACTGTGTCTGTCTAGTCAGTGTCTAGTCAGCCTAAGAACTGTCTAGTGGTATTTGTGTAATTAACATTATATACTTCCTCCAAGCAGTATGCCTGAGGAGACAAGCAATGTGGGAAGAGTTAGGAGTTAACCCTCAGAGAAATGAACCGCATTTCCACCTTTTCCCCTCCTTTCAGCTCTGAACCAACTTTCAAATCAACTGCTGCTGTTATAGGGCAGCCCTGATATTGAACAGGTTGCCTGGCTGTGGGTCCTCACCCACGCGCTTAAAAGGGACTTATTCATACTCCACTACAGGCACACACAAAAGGTTAATAAAAGGTTTATTTACAAGGGAAAAGGAAACAAGGAAAATTTACAACTCAGGGAGAAAATAGGGAAATAAAGTCTTTTATGCGTCCTACTCCATCCACCCACCTGGAAACCCAAAGGCACTCTCAGAGCTGGCCGGATGCTGCGAGCTCCCGGAGAGCCAAAATGGGGGAACCCCTCCAAAGCCCACGTGTCTGGCTTTATACCAACCAGGCTGCTTAACCCCACCCTCAGGTCCCAGCCACCTTCCCTTTGGTGGTGATGGGATTTGGAGTTCCCAGTGTCTTTGGCTTTGGCCTGGGGTGGGGGTGGAGTCCACAAAGCCCGTATGGAATTAGCTTTAGGACATCCTTTTCCCCCCTAACACTTCCACCAAAAATACTGGTGATACGGGTAGACTTGTCAAAATGCAGATTCTTGGGTCCCATTGATCTAAATCGGGATTTGGGGGCATCCATATATGGCTTGTGATTTTGCATTTGAAATGCTTCAGAAGGGTCTTAAATCCGAGTGGAGTTTGAAGAATGCCATTCTAAAGGATTCTGGCAGAAAGACAGAGAGTATACTCAATTTTACCAATAAAGTTGGAAAACCATTGAGGGAACTTTTCTGCTTTCCTGTGATTATCTAATTTCTTCTTACTTCCAACCGTGTAGCAGCCAAGCGCCCGCCTTACAGAATCTAGTCAAGATATATTTGTTGAATGAACGAACGACAAGAAAGGTCACTTTTAAGTAACTTTCCCGCAGACGTACACGCCTGGAGAGCTGCAACAAATAGCATTAGGAGCCAAGCGAGAGGCTGCGAGGACAAAAAAGGACGCAAGTCAAGGTGAACTAAAGATCCAAACATCCAACTCCAGGCAAAACGGCGACCCTAGGCAGGGAATGGCCGTCTCACGTCACGTGACAAACAGGAGGCGGATCCCGGGGAGACGCACGCCCTCGTAAGGCCCCGCCCCATTACGGGCGGACGTGACGTCACGAACAAGCCTCCCTGCCCTTGCTCCCCCCACCCCCGCTTCAACCGCCGCCTCCCGCCTGCAGCCCCAGACCCAGCGCTAACCCGGCACCTCGGGACGCGCGGCAGTCGCGTCAAAGTCCCCTCAGACGCCTAGATACGACTTCCTTAAGGCGCCCGCCCCGCCTCTAGGCCCGATCCCCGGCCGCCAGGGGTGTCTTACCGGCGCTCATCGCCAGCCGGTCGCTCCTTAGCAGATGTTCCCGCCCGCCGCGTCTTCAAAGCCACCAATGGCCAGTTCCCGCCGCCTCGGCGCACCGCCCCCTGGAGCTCACACTGAGGCGCGCGCCGGGGCGCAGGGGAGCCCGCCGGGAGGGCTCCCCAAGTGAAGCGCGCCAGGCCTCCGCATGGCTGCTCCGCGGACTTTCTCGTGGCGACGCGCTGACTCGCAGTCGCGGGGCCTGGGTTGTCGCTTCGGCTGACGCTTTAGGTGCGGCCGCGTCTCCGCGGACGCCGCCTCCCTCCCCCGCCGGCGCCCGCAATGGGCGCGTCCGGCCGGCGGCGCATGCGCCTCGGGGGCCCGGCGGGGTCAGCTGTGGAGGGCGTCGCGCCTGGGTCTCCCGGAGCTGCCCGGCTGGCGCCCAGGCCGCCGGCCAGGAGTGCGGGGTCCTCGTCCGTCAGCGCCGCCGTAGAGCTCCCGGAGTGGCCGCGAGTTGGGTGAGTCTCGGGAGTCCGGCGGATGTGAGGGGCGCTGGCCCCCACCTGTCGCGGGCGGCTCTCCACCTGTCGCGTCTCGTGTCCCCCAACTCGCGTGCGCCCCGGGGTGCTGCGTTCTGCCGGGGCTCCCCCCTCCCACCCCGCCCTGGGCGCCGGCCCCCCGGGGCGGCCTTTGCTGTCTTGCGTCCAGGCGGACCACCGCGCTGGGGAGTTTTCTGGGCTGGCTGGGGGGCGTCCCGCCCTCAGGTGTTTCTTCCTCACTGACTTTCTTCCTCGCTCGCTGCTGGAATGGCCGCGGCCGCTTGGGGCCACCCGCCTTGGGGTGGGCGCGTCTCTTCCCTGAGCCTCGGTTTCCGCGCCAGTGAAGTGGGTCTAAGCCGGCGCCGCGGGGGTCGGATGCGCAGGCCTTAGCGCTGCCGTGGCGAGCGCTCGGTGTCTCCTGCGGTTCTTATCGTTGCTCGTCCTGAGTTTAGAATTGGCCCATCGAAGGTGGGGGGCCCGCAGGACGCATCCCACCTGCGGCGAACATTCACCGTTAGGGCTGGTCCTGTGAGGAGTCAGTAAGAGCCCCTCGGTGCACTTTGAAGGAAAGTAGACTTTCAGATAAATCCCTTAGAGATCACTCGCTTTTTATTTCATAGAAGGTGCTTTTTGAAGAATCCGAGGTAAATCCAGTTCTGTAAATCATCGTTTAATGTTTTGAAGGCATCCAAGAAGGTTGCACTGGCAAAGGAATTATGTTGTGACACCCCAGTGCACTCAGCGGGAGGTTAGGGACTTTTGGGTTAAAGACCAACCGTGTAGACAAAAGTGGTACCAGTAGGCAGTGCAGCCTAGGTGTGCAGCCGGCTGTACCTTCAAACTGTCATTACAGCTTGTCTTTGCACAGCTATGAAATCGCCGAGGACACATGACTCAGAATGTTTACGGTCCAGGGACACATGACTCTGTCTCTCTTGCTCTGCAGACAGGCGAATGCACTTGTTCTTTTGATTTCAGATGAACCTCATTTCCACCTTTTTCCCCCCCTACTTGAGTTACGAACTAGTTCGCAAATCTCTAACCTTATATTAACGTAAGGCAGACATTTACTGGACAATTACTTGTAGGCCTTGACAATTATACCCCCTCACTAGCCTATGCATTCTTTGAGGTGTGTAGATTAATTTTTCTCCCTGAAATTCATGTGAATTGGCAGGGTGCTCAGCACCTAGTAAGTGCTGATACATTCTTGTTTAGGGAAAGCGTCCTTGAGAAACAAAGTGTTAGAAATTAGAATCCTGTGGTCTTTCTCCGCAGGCAACCAAGGCCTTGCTCTGGGCTACAGCGATAGTGTCTATTGCAGAGCACTAGTCAAAGTCTGTTTAGACTTGGCTGAATGTGGTCCATCGTTTGAAAAAGGTGAAGAAACACTAATTCAACTAATACCAGTGCTTTTTGAAATGTAGACTTTAAAAATGCCTTCGAAAGCATTAAATATTAATTTACAGTTTTTCCTGGAGATTCTTTAGACTCTGAACAAGAGACTTTCTGGACTTGTTTTATCCTTGTTTAAAAATAACATTAGAAATTGCAACTGTGGCATACATTTCTTTCTAGTGCAGCCGCACAATAGCAAAATCTTTCTAAAGTAACCCAAGTGGCATTTAAATAGAGGGTTCCCCCTTTGTGATTATAGATTTGCTGAAGTGTGTTGTTAGAATGCTTACTCCCTTTTCTTGAGTGTGAATGTATTGCTTACTCTTGGCTTATTTCTTTTCTAAAATTCTGCCACCTGGTGGTTGAAATCTGTATCTTAGCATACTCATTGGAAACATTTTTACCTCAGAGTCTAGGTAGAGTAACGTGAGAGTGAATAAAATAATACTGTAATTTTTATACTATTAGTGAAAGTACTCTGCTGCTTCTACACTTCCAGCCTATCCCCCCAAAAAGGTTAAACTTGTTTTTCAGGGACCTGTTAGCCAGTTATCAAAACATCAAATAGTCACAAGCTGAATGTTTTTAAGTTTCATCAAACTGTTAGCAGCTTGGGCATACTTCAAGAAGTGAGTTGCGTTGACACTGGGAGAGAAGTGTTGTAATTGTGGCAAATTAATCCTTCTGTGTTTTCTAAAAGCCATTGTAAAGGTGGGACTAAGGTTTTGTGTTAAACAAAATAATAGTTTGAATGGAATTTAGCATCTCTTTCCTACTGCAATCTGTGACATCATCATCTGTGAAGTTATCACACATGAATGTTCGTCCACATTTGTTTCAGTGTGGAACTTGATGTTCATAGTTAACTTGGCACTACCCTTTTGAAATTGTTTTCTGGTGGTTTTTTTTTTTTTTTTTTTGTGGTACTGTTTATCCTTTAAGTATGAATTTTATTTCTGGGAGCAACTTGAAATCACTTAATTGTGATCTTAGATTTTGAGAAGAAACTAAATGAAAGCAAGACTATTCTCTGACATCCTTAATTGATGTAGCCCATCTCTTTGGGGCACACAGGGACCTAAAAGTAAGCTTTACACAGCAGCCTGTTTCACTGTTTGCTGTTTCATTTTTTGGTTTCTACTTCTGCCTTCAGAAACACCTCAGTAAATTCAGTTCTACCTTTCCCATCATGTCACAGAGCATTTAAAATATACAGATAATTCATTCCATATGTTAAATTTGTTCACCATTACATGTTATTTTAAAGTTTGTGACATCATGAAAATATAGAGGTCAGAACTAATGTATAATTTCTTTTTTGGATAGTTAAAAATACCTTAATTTTTAAAAAAGATTTATTTATGCATATAAGAGCTGGGGTGCAGAACAGAAGTACAGGGGGTGAGAGGATTCACCAGAGGGAGAGAGTGGGGAGCAGAGCAGGTGGATCTGTTGAAATACACTGCTGAGGGGAGCAGTGGGCAAGAGAGCAGAAGTCTGCTGTGCCATGTGGGTCATCTCCCTGTCCGGGAATGGAACTGGTACTGCAGTGGCTGTGGATTGCTTCATAGTGCTACAACTTAATCCCTTGCACCACTAGGGAGGCCCCCAAAATTCCTTAATTTTTTATTCTTGGTAACCACTACCAAAAATTACAGGGCATTATATCTGATGCAATGAAAAGAAAAAGACAAAGCTACAGCAGATAAAAGATCAGACCTCAGCAACATACATTGAATTGACACTAAATCATGTCAATCACAGCTGTACTTTTTCCAAACTGTAACTGTGATAGTGCTGAACAAGGGGGGTTTACTGCTGCAACTTTTCTGACTATAGATCATTGTTCTGTGGCAGATTTTTACAGTTCCTCTAATGGATTTGGGATGACTGTCTCAAAGTTACCTGGAGCTTTCCTGATGCTTCTTGCTCTCTCCTAAGAACTGTAGACGTTTTCTGCTGAATTTTTAGAACCTTCTGCTACTATAGCCACCACTTCCACCACCAGATCCATAACAGTTACAACAGGGACTGCCTAAGCTCCTTCCACCAAAACTGTCCCCATTTTGGGTGCATAATTTGATTGTTATTATTCACTAAAATATCTGAAATCATTATGGTTACGACCACCACCACCATATTTACCGGTGTCAAAATTTCCTTCTTGATTGTAACTTCATACCCTCCACCACTACTACCGTCACTACCACCATATCCATTACCTTGGTTTCCATATCCTCATCCACCTCTACCATAGTCTCCTCTACTACTATAACCAGGACTGCCACCATAGTTGCCGCTATCACTTCCAAATCCATTATATCCGTCACCTCCTCCATAACTATTTTTGCTGCCACCACCTTCCCCACCATAGCCTCTTCTACCAGTTTCCATTACCAAAACACCCTCTGTCACTTCCAGAGTTCTCTCCGTTACCCATAAAGTTAACGGATCTACCTCCACAACCTCTTTGTGATCCAGTAGACTGCTTTTCTTGTTTAGAAAAGGGCTTTTTCACTTCACAGTTATGCCCATTAATAGTGTGGTATTTCTGAACAACAATTTTATCAACTGTCTTGATCATCAAAAGTTACAAAGGTGGGCCTCCCCGGTGGCACAGCAGTTGAGCGCTGGGTTGTGAAGCTGCCCGCATCCCCTGCTGCTCCCTGGCCACCTCTCCTGCTGCCCGCTGCTCCCCTCAGCGGTGTACTTCGGTCCTTCTTCCTTCTCTGCTGCCCGCTCTGGCTCTGGTGAATTCTCTCACCCTCTGCGCTTCTGACTACCCAGTGCATGTATAAATAAATAAATTTAAAAAAAAAAGTTACAAAGGCAGGGCCTTCCTGGTAGTGCAGGGGGTTAAGTCCCAGCACTTTGAAGCTGTCAGTAGCCACTGCAGCACAAATTCAATCCCTGGCCAGGGACCTAACCTACATGGCGCAGCAGACCTCTCCTGTCTCGCCCACTGCTCCCCTCAGCAGTGTATTTCAGTAGATCCACCTGTTCTACTCCCTACTCTGTCACTGGTGAATCCTCTCACCACCACCTTCTCCCCTCCTCCCGCCCCCCCACCTCTGGCCTACATCCTATCTCTTGTATGCATAAATAAATGAAACAAATCTTTAAAAAAGAAGTTACAAAGGCAAATGATCTTTTTACTCAGCCAGTCTTCCATGTTTGTGGTTTCAATCTTGCCATACTTTCCAAAGTAGTCTCTCAAATTACATTCTTTAATACCGACAAAAATTTTCTTCACTTTTAAATGGACACTGGACTTTACAGAATTCTCTCTAGAAACAGCTCTCTTTGGCACCACTACACATCCATCAACCTTAAGCACACACTGCTACATCCATTTTGTGACAGTAAGTCACAAAACCAAATACCCTGGGATGTTTTGTTTGGGTGCCTCTCAGCACATGGCAAGTAAGTGTGCCCCATTTCTCAGAATGTTCTTTTAAATTGTGTGGGTTTCAGAGTTCAGACTACCAGTAGTTTTCTTAGCTGTTCTGGTTTCCTTTGGACCATGGCCCTCCTTTTTGAGCAAAAAAAACCTAATATATTTTATGGAAGAAGAGACTTAGGTCTCAGATTTAAGTAATCAAAGTAAATATTTGCCACAAGTTTTGTCTTCAGACCCACATCTTCTCCCTTCAACTCCATTGCTTATCTTACTTAACCAGGCTATTGCTCTGTCTCCTCTGTTGTGGGCTTCCCAGTTTTATTAATGTCTTCTTGTTTAAACCTAGTGTCGAAAACACCTCCATTCTGAGTACTTCTTTCAGGGACCGTCACATTGTCAGTATTCTGGATGTGGCCAATGAGGACCAACAGTGCTATTCTTTTTCTTGGTGTTATCTACCCTGTTTCTAATATAGGATAATATTACATTGATGTTTTAGGAACATAGGCTTAGAATTAGTGCCTGTTGAGCTGGTAGCCAACCGGACACTCTTTGGGAAATAGATTCTATCAGAATTTATTTCTTCCACAAATTGCTGGGAAGGCATGTCTTTTCTCTTTTGAATATGGGAAAAATCTGTCATGGTAAGACATTATTTGGGTAGTTACTCTGTGATTTACTATGTCACTTGGGGCTTAGTTCTGCTATGAATATGTGAGTAATGCATATTTTCACCTACATAAAGGCAATTTCTTATGGTTCAGTTGAATTTTAAAAGTACTTCTATGGTGTGGGAGAGATTATAAGACTTGTATCTGAGTTCAAATTATTTCCTCCTCTAATACTGTGGATAAATTCTTATGACTCTGAAGAAATTTTAAGTATATGACCATGGGATATATATTTAACTTTTCTTCAGTTCATAAAAATATCATTTTGAGTTATAATAGTGTTATTAGGATAGGTTTTTAAAGGTGACTGCTGGAAAATACCAGCATTCATTCAAACACGTTCTGACAACAGTATCAACATTTTAGTGTTATGCTTTCAGAGTCATGCTTTGTATATTATACCCAAGATTATAATTGTGCATCTACATGTCCACCAACGGTTTGGCAAAGCCAGGTGACAGAGTGTACATGGAAAGAACAGAGGGAAAAAGAAGAGAGTATCTAAAAAGGTACATGAAAAACAGGGTAAATGTAAAGCAAGGGATTTGACACATTAGAGATGTGTTTAGAACTTTAGGTTTAGTAGCTTCTTACCAGAAGAACAGGAGAAAGAAATTATATAAAGCCACGTTGTTCTTTGACTTAGTCATCCAGGATAAGGAAGAAGGGGAGAGGTCTTGGTGGTATACTGAGGTAATTTTAACACATTTATTGCCAAGAAGTCATCTCAGAATACTATAAGCTTGTTCCTGAACCATACGGGTGCAAATCTGAGGCCTGATTCATAGAAATGTAAAAATATTTTGTCAAATGCATGTACAAAATGAAATGTTTAAGACATTTTCTAGGTAACTCAACCTGTGTACATCTTCCTTTAGGAAAAAAGTGAGGCAGAGACCAAATAACTACTATACATAAATGTAGGTGCCTAATATTGGTATGCTATTAAATTGGTGAACTAAATTATTGCATGAAACCTTATTTTTCCAAGGCAAAATTTTTGTGTTACTAAAAAGACTTCGTAGTTAGTGGCATGCAAAAAACTTGAACTTGACTGATTATTCATTTTCTTTTTTGAATATTCAAATACTTACCTGGGCATAATGACCTGTTCTGTTGTGGTATGTTTTTTTTTTTTTTTTGCGTGTGTTTTTAGTAGTTACTGAATAGAATAGTGTGATAAGCTGATATTTTTCTAAATTAAAACCTGAAATAGTATAATTCTCCAGAATTATTTGTTTAGATTTTCTTTAGGATTTTATTTGTTGGGAGAGGGAGGTTGATCAGCAATTTAATTTTCTTGGAACTTCTTTTTTTTTAAATTTTTTTTTTAAAGATTTATTTATTTATGCATACAAGAGCTAGGGTACAGGCCAGAGATGTGGGGGGTGAGAGGATTCACCAGAGACAGAGTGGGGAGCAGAACAGGCAGACTGAGTGAAATACACTGCTGAGGGGAGCAGCAGGCGTGACAGGAGAGGTCTGCTGCACCATGTGGGTTTCTCCCTGGCCGGCCGGGGATGGAACTCATACTACAGAGGCTGTGGATTGCTTCATAGTGCGGTGCTTAACCCCTTGTGCCACCAGGGAGGCCCTTCTGGGAACTTTTTAAAAACCTTATTAAAGTATAATTTATATACCATAAAATTCACCCACTGTATGCAAATCAGTGGTTTTAATAAACTTACTTTATTCTACAACCATTATCACAATCCTATTGTAGAACATGTTCATCATCAGAATATTTTCATCATCAGAACAGATTCCCTTGTGCCCATTTGCAGTCAGTCCCCGTTCTCACCTGTAGACCTAAGTAACCAATGGTCTGCTTTTTGTCTCCCTACATTTGCCTTTTCTGACACCACATGTTAGTGGAATCATATAATCTAGTCATTTGAATCTGACTTTTCTTATTTAGTTTTTGAGGTTAATTATATGTTGCATGTATCAGTTCATTCTTTTTAATTGCTGAATATTATTCCACTGTATAGTTATACCAGATTGTGTATCCATATGTGTATAGTATATATTTTGATTGTTTCCGGTATTGGTAATTATTCACATACATGTCTGTGTAGATAAGTGTTTTCATTTCTTTTTGGTAGGTTGTTAGGAATACAACTTATGGGCCTATGGTAAGTTTATGTTTAATTTCTTGAGAAAGGGCCAAATTGTTTTTTCTGAAGTGTCTGTACTGCTTCATCATAATAGCAATGTGTGAGGTCCATTTTCTCTCCATCCTAAAGAGTGCTTGGTGTGGTCTGACTTTTTGAGTATAGTTATTCTGGTGGATGTATAGTAGTATCTCTTTGTAGTTTTACTTTGCATTTCACCAATGACTAATGGTGTTTAAATATTTTTCACATTCTTAACCATTTCTGTAGCTTCTTTGTTGAAATATCTGTTCAAATGTTTTGCCCATCTTTTGCATCAATTTTAAACAATGAATTATTTATAAGCATATTTTTTATATAGTCTAGATATAAGTCTTTTGTATGTGGTTTGCAGATATTTTTCTTAGTTTCTGGCTTGCCTTGTTTTAAAGAGTAGATTTTATTTTTTTAGAGCACTTTTACTAGGGTTATAGCTAAATTGAGCAGAAAGTATAGAGATCCCGTAAACTTCCCTCCAGCATCCCCCGCTGTCAGCCTTCCCTGGTGAATCTACATTGGCATGTCATTGTCACTCAAACGTGTGGTTTGTTTTTTAATTTTCTTTTTTTTAATAACTTTTTTTTTTTAAAGATTTATTTATACAAGTACTGGGTACAGTCAGAAGCATGGGAGGGTGAGAGAATTCACCAGAGACAGAGCGGGGAGCAGAACAGGCAGAAGGACTGAAGTACACTGCTGAGGGGAGCAGTGGGCACGGCAGGAGAAGTCTACGAGCCATGTGGGACCCTCGCTGGTGGCCAAGGATCGAACCGGCGCTGCAGAGGCTGTGGGCAGCTTCACAGCCCAGCGCTCAACCTCTACGCCACCAGGGGAGGCCCTGTTTTTTAATTTTCTTAGTGGTGTTTTTTTAAGCACAAAGGTTTTTTTTTTTTTTTTTTTTTTTAATTTTCATGAGTTGTTACTACTCTTTACAGAATGATGGTGTTTTGATGTGTCTAAGAACACTTTAGTTAGTCTACACTCGTGATTTTCTTCTATATTTTCTTTCTTGAAACTTAAAAGATTAAAGCAATTCACTGGTTCTTTTGACAACCTTTTCTGAGTTAAAAAATAGGTTAAGAAAGAGGTGAATAGTGCTTCATAATTATAGTAAACACCTCAAAATAATGCTTTTCCTTTGACATTGGATGTTTTCTACTTTGTCAATGAATCAATTAAACTTAATTTCATTTTCCTATTTTCAGTATAATAATTTCATTTCCTGGATATATCTGCTAAGTTTGAAAAAGTTTTTTTTCTCATCTGCTTCTTGTTCATTGTTAGATTTTCTCAACCATATGGTAGGGGAAAATTCTGTCTTTATTCACACTACTTTAAGACTGCCTGGTGGTTCTTTACCCTCTCAGGGGAATTTACATTTTAAAAGATAAATAAATCAGTTCTCATAATGGTAGAAGTTTATCTGAACAAAATTGGATGCAATCAGTTTCAGGATTGTGGGGAAAATAATTCAAGTCAGGCTTATTCATAAGACAAGCTGTCACTGAGCACTTGTTTTCAGAATGGGATCTCTTGAGTCTTTTCTCTGCAACTCTAGACATTCTCTGAAACACTCCAAATTACTTGCTGAATATGTTAAATCACTGGATGAGGAAACTGAGGCTCAAGTTTAATATTTGCTCAGCAACAACATTCTCTTCTCATTATGGTCACTGCCATTTCTTATTGAAAATAGTTGTAGGTTGTATTAACAAATATATTCACACATATTCAAGACACTCTTGTATCCACAGGTTTGCTCTGCTGTGCTCCATCACCTTCACCTAAAGATGCATCCTGACTTATCTCCACACTTGCACACTGAAGAATGCAACGTCTTGATTAACTTGCTTAAGGAATGTCACAAAAATGTAAGAGTTCAGAAAAATAACTGTAAAGCAAAAATGAAACATAGGTACAACACACTGATGTAAAATGTGTTCTCCATTAATAGAAGCAAGTGATAATGTCTTACTGGATCTTAGCTTAGTAAAGAATAGCAATTGATACTTCTGATTTTTCAGAAATCGCTTCCTTTTGTGATTAAGGATCAAGGAGGTCAGGAGAAAGCAAATATTGTACAAAATGAACAATGATGTAAAATATATATGAATATATAAATTAAAAAATAAAAAAACCAAAGTGGTTACCTATAAAAAAAAAAAAAAAACCAAGGAGGTCAGTTTCTTAGGGGACTTAGGGAAATGATATATGATAGTGAGAGTCCGTGTTCTTATAATAAAAACTTTTCCTTTCCCAGTTACGGGGTACTAAACCAATTATGTTCAGCTCTGACTCTTCTCATCATAATGGAATTTTTTTAAGACTTTGTATTTCTTAATGTCTACCATTCTGTGTTTAAAGGAAATTGGAACATTTTATGTAACTAGATGTTAACTAGATTTAATTTATGATTGCCCTAATTTGATAGGTTTCCTTAATTGTTAGTAGAATGGGTAAAGTCCATGGTTAAAACCAAAGAGAAGCTCATTTTTGGAATGCATTAAAATTAAGCTGATATTTTTACAGATGTCAGCTATTTAGCCTTTTTCTTTTATTTGATGCATGATGGCTATAAGAAGCATTTGTGTCTTTCCTTAAGTTTGCATGATGATGTTATTTTCCTCATGATATTCATAAGCTACAGGTACATCAACTAATAGTAGTATTGTCTAAATGAGTACAGTTTTAAAAATTAATAAAGTAGTAAGTATACCCATGACTTGTGAAATCTGTTTTTACTGGTTCAAGAATGTTGTTGATATCAATGTAATATAGGTAAGCTATGTTCACCATATATTTAGATCAAGAATTGCTAGCTGTTTTCATACTCCTCCTTACTGACCTAATTGAAAAATGAGCCAGATTGTATAAGTTAAACAGAAGTTTAGATTTTTTGATCGGAAAAATGTGAAATGTTTATTTTTTGTAAGATTGGGAGTTGATTATTTGTGTTGACTTAGCATTTAAATTTTCTATATGGTCAGTTACAAGGAGAGGTAAAAAGGAGGGATAGTCTACTGCCAGAAAGAAGCACAGTGTGGAGAAATATTTTCTGGAATGACATTTCACTCTTGCATGGATCATGTTACCAATACAGCTAGTTTAGAAATGTGTTGTTATTCATAACAAAAGATATAAATAAGGATGTTTTTATCTCTTTATATTTATTTCCTAGATTAATCAAATTAAGACAGCCCAGAGTTTTTTAATCCTTTCTTTCAAGTAAACTTTGTCTGCTGTCTTTGGTCCATGACTTTTAAAATTGACGTTAAATTAAACCAGGAAAATATTCTTTCCCTTTCAAAAGGATTTCTTATGATAAAGGTAGCATCTTAAATCACTGGAACTGAAGTAGAGTCACAAAATTAATTTTATTGAAGTATAATTTACATATAGTAAATTACCTTTATATTTATTTTCTTAGTGTTTTATGGCTCCTAAAAATCTTTAAGAGCTCTAAAAGGTTTTCACAGTCCTTTTGCCAGAAAAGTATATCTAACAAGTTTAATAAGCAGTCTCCCTTCAGTAGGGTGTAAGCATAAAACTTAGATTTTTCATCAAGCCTTCCCTCAAATCTCCAATTCATCTTTTTCTTTCTTTCTTCTTTTTTCTTTTTTTTAAATAAAAAGACTAGATAGGGTCAATTATAAGGGAAGTTGGTGTAAATGTATGCTTGCATCCATTTTCATTAATGATAGCTAGTGTTACCAGAGTGAATTCTATTTTAATTGTACAATTTGAGTTTTGATAAATGTAAACACTTATGCAACCATCACCATGCCAAAAAAACTTCCTATTTTCCTTTGCAGTCACTCTACCCTTACCCTGGTCCAGAAAACTACTGAATTTTTTTTTTTTTTAAAGATTTATAAAATGGGGTACAGACCAAAGGTATGGGGGGTGAGAAGACTCACCAGAGATAAGAGTGGGGAATAGAACAGACAGATTGACTGAAATACACTGCTGAGGGGAGCAGCGGGTGAGTCAGGAGAGGTCTGCTGCACCATGTTGGTAGCTCCCTGGCTGGGGATTGAACTTGTGCTGCAGTGGCTGCAGATAGCTTCATAGATTGCATACTGAATTATTTTTTGTCCCTGTAGATTAACTCTGTTGTTCTAGAACTTTTTGTAAATGGACTCTGCATTGCATAGTCTTGTGTTTTGATCCACATAATTTTTTGACTTTCACACATACTGTTGTATGTGCCATTATTCATTCCTCTTTTTCTGAGTAGCATCTTCCATTGTAAGGATATACCACATTTTGTCTATCAGTAGACATTTAGGTTGTTTGCAGTGGGCTGTTTCGAATAAATTGATGTTCGTTCATGTATAGGTCTTTGTGTGGATATCTTTTTGTTTCTCTTGGGTAATTCTTAGGAATGGAATGACTAGGTTGTGTGGTAAATCTATTTTTAGCTTCATAAGAACTGCCAAAGGTTTCCATTCTGTATTGTTTTACATCCCTACCAGTTCCCCATCCTCACCAACTCTTGGTATTTTATAAAAGTCTTAGTTTAAAGAGTCAATCTGTGGTGTGTAATAATGATGTTGGTTTTAAATTGTATTTCCTGATGGCTGATGTTTTTGAGCATCTTTTCATGTGTATGTGTATTGACCACATCATGTCTTTTGCCCTTTTAAAGCTCTAAAAATTGACTTGTCTTACGATGAGATGCCACCTTACACCAGTGAGAATGGCACATATTAAAAAAACTAGCAACAACAAATGTTGGTGAGGACGTGGTGAAAAAGAAACTCTACTATACTGTTGGTGGGAGTGCAAAGTAGTCCAAACACTATGGAAAGCTGTGTGGAGGTTCCTCAGATTACTAAAAATGGAGCTACCATATGATCCAACAATTCCACTCCCGGGGATCTACCCAAAGGACATAAAAACATTAATTCAAAAGGATACCTGCACCCCTATGCTTATTGCAGCACTGTTTATAATAGGTAAGACTTGGAAACAACCCAAATGCCCAAAGATAGATGACTGGATCAAAAAGATGTGGTACATATACACAATGGAATACTATTCAGCAAAAAAGAAAAAAAGAAAAAAAAAAAGATAATCTAATGCCATTCACAGCAACATGGATGGAGCTAGAAGGGATTATACTCAGTGAAATAAATCAAAAGGAAAAAGAAAAGTATCAGACGGTTTCACTTATAGGAGGAATAAAGGGGAACAAAAAATGGGATCGGGAAAAAATAATAATCTAAATAAAAGAAACCACAACAGGGCCTCTCTGGTGGCTCAAGGAGATAAGCACAGCTCTGTGAAGATATTATATCCTCTGCAGCACTAGTCTGATCCCCACCCACATGGTGCAGCAGACCTCTCCTGACTTGCCTCTCCCTCAGCAGTGTATTTCAGTCAATCTGCCTGTTCTGTTCCCCACTCTGTCTCTGGTGAATCCTCTCACCACCCCCTCCCCTCCCCGCCCCTGCACCTCTGGCCGGTACCCCCGTTCTTGTATGCATAAATAAATAAATCTTTAAAAAAAACACACAAAATAAAAAAAAACACAACAAAACTAAACAAAAGTAATCAGACTACTATAAATCACAGACATTCTGCAGGGGAGTGGAAGAGAGAGGGATCAAAATGACGGTGGGAGGAGCATAAGGGACTAAGGTGATGGTGCAAGGGTGAAATGGTGGGAATTTTATGAGGATGATACCTGATATAAAATATATACAAAGAAGGAAATTAATTATAAAACAAAAAAAAACAAAAATAATTGTTTTAAAACAATTTTTACTGAAGTAAAGGATTTTTTTTTATCATCAGGCATACAAATTCTTTATCTGGTATAAAGATATTGTGAATATTCTCTCCCAGTTTATGGCATCCTTTTTCATTTTCCTCAAGGATGTGTTTCAAAGATCAGCTTGTAAACTTGATGAAATCCAATTTGTATTATTTGTATTTTTGTGTTCTAAGTATCTTTGTATATACAATTTCCAATGGTTTCTATGGTTACATAATTTTGGACTGATTCCTAATTTGGGAAAATCACAAAGATTTTCTGCCTTTTTTTTCCTCCTGGAAGTCTTAAAGTTCTTTTACGTTTAGGTCTGCAATACATTTCAGTTGTTATGTATGGTATGACGTGTCAGTCAGCGTTTACTTTCTCATGGCTGTCTAGTTTATTGCAGTACCATTTGTTGAAAAGTCTATCCTTTCCCCACTAAATTACCTTGGTTCTTTGTCAGTTGACTGGTGTCTCTAGTCTGCCTGTTCTTAATACCAGTAGCACACCAATATGACTACTAATAGCTTGTCAGTCTCAAACTCATATAGTGGAAATCCTCTAACTGTGTCTTATTTTTCAAAGTTGTTTTAGCTATTCTAGGTCCTTTTCGTAGTCATAAACTTTTTAATCAGCTGTCTCTTTTTATAAACATGTTTACTAGTTTTTCATGTGATACTAAACGTTTTTGACTTGGATTTTATTATCTTTTGTTTGGGCAGGTGGTTCATTTACTTGGGGAAGTTGCTTAATCCTTTCTTTTTAGGTGTATTTTTAAGTAATTTTAGGGCATGTCTTGAGTAGCTTTTATTTTAGGATTAGTTTAGCACAACTACTAAAGCATGGCTGTACTTCTAGCTCCATTCCTACTATATATAAATTATTTGAATTTATCTGTTTCTGACTGTTGTAGTTCATCTTTGTAATTATTGTAGTTATTCTGACTTTGGAGGTTTCATACTATACATGTGCAGATGAATACTCAGTGACTCGAGGTTACCCCATGTGGATTTCTGGAGTTCTGCTGTATATCTTTATACTTTTTAAAAAATATTTATTTATTTATGCATACAAGAACTGGGGTACAGGCCAGAGGTGCAGGGGGTGAGAGGATTCACCAGAGACAGAGTGGGGAACAGAACAAGTAGACTGACTGAAATACACGGTGAGCAGAGCAGCAGGCAAGACAGGAGAGGTCTGCTATGCCATGTGGGTAGCTCCCTGGCAGGCCAGGGATTGGACTAGTGCTGGGCTGTGGAAAGCTTCACAGTGCTGTGCTTAACCCCTTGCACCACCAGGAGGCCCTCTTTATACTCTTAATTACTCCTACCTCTCAAATGTCAGCTGCCTCAACCTACTTGAACTCTGATACTTGCCTCTTCAAATCAGTAAGAGCGCCATTTTCTTTCTGGGGTCATCTTCCACTGCTGCATTGTTTAGAAATCGCCTGTAGGTAGAAAGCTGGGGGTGAATATAGAGCTCAAGTTGTTTTTCTTTTTTCAGGTATCCTAGTCCTATATACTGTGTTGTCTAGTGTCTGAAAGTAGTTTCATATATTTTTCCAGTTTTCTAGTTACTTGCTATGGGAGGGCTAGATCTTTATCAGTTATTCCCTCATTGCTAGAAACAGAAGTTTTGAAGATGGACTTTTACTAAATGACTCTGGGACAATTATATATCATATGGAAAAGGCAAAATTAAATCTATACCTTCTGCAATGGAAATCAGTTAGTTTGTAGTGGATCAGGTACCTAAAAGTTTAAAACTGAAGCTGTGCAAATACTAAGAAAACAGATAAATTCCTATAACCTGGTTATGAGAAAGGCTGCCTAACTAGGACTCAAAATTATTGTTTCTTTGTGTTTCAAAACCTTTATGAGCATGGTCCATATCTTTTGGACCTCATCAATCCCCATGTTTTCCTCCCTCCTGTTACTGCATGCTTTTTTTTGTAGTTGTGCAAGATTCTTATATCTGCCTCCACATTCAGTCTGTGGTTATATTACACTCCATATATCCTCTGGTAAACTTTACTGTGGTAAGAGAATGAAATTGAACAAAACAGGTAAGATCTTTGTATTATTAGGGACATTTTTTTTACTTGGGGTGTCCCTAGGAAAATCTCAGGAATTCCTCCTAGTTGTCCCTGGACTATGCTTTGAAAACCACTCCTTTATAGCAGTCACTTCAAATGTTTCTTTTCATTTGACTAGGTACGCTGAGAGTAGGGCTGGGTGGACTTTTCTGACTGATGTTTCCCAAATGCCTGGAACATTGTTTTCTAGGCACTGATTGATTGATTGACTCATTCAATCAATTGCTCAGTTTGGTTCTCTAAAAATAGACATTAGGCACTACAGGCTTAGTATATAAGAGAAGTGCAGTCCACTGGCATTTCTTTTGCCAATTTCAGTGGGGCATTTTGTGGGTTGTTGTTAGTTATTTTGAGCTTATGGTATGTATAAGTTAATTGAGATACAACACTACCCACCTCCCATTCCATATTTGATTCTCCCTTTTCCATAGTGAGTATCTTGTTCCCCACTACATTGTTATATCCATTTACTATTGATACGTACAATAAAGATTTTCAGAATTACTATGTCAGTAACACCATTAACAAACTTAGGAAAAAATCTTTAAACTTAAAAAAAATTATCTGCTATAATGTGGGTACAGTAAGAATGATGTATTCAAGAACTAGTTTAAAAAATTTTTTTTCTTTGTGTGGTCACATTATGACTATGTAATACTGTGTGGTACAATACTGTGAAAGCAAATGTTATAGTTTATTTATCCAATCTTTCATAGATGTGCATTTAGCTTACTTCCAATAATTTGTTAGGTTCATTTATTCTGCAGTTTTACTTTTGAATTAAAGTGTCACATGGTTCAGTAGTCAAAACTGTAAAGGTTATATTTGGAGAAGTCTCATTTATGTCCCCAACTCTTACTCCCCATCCCCACTCATCCACTGTAAGTAACAGTTTTTATTTGTTTCTTGCTTCTTTCTTTGGTTTCTTTTTGCAAAATAAGCCACTGAAACATTTTCAATTTTACGGTTTTTATGCGGTATTGCAAGAGTATAATTCACATTGGGGTTTAGTTGAGCTGAAAGCAATATGGTTGACCCTTGAACAACTTGGGGATTAGGGGTGCTACATCCTCTACCCTCGCCCGATCTTGCAGTTAAAATTTTTAACTTTTGAATCGCCCCGAACTTAATGACTAATAGCTTGCGTTTAATGAGAAGCTTTACCAATAACATAAACAGTCAAGACATTATGTTTATGTAATATGCATTGTATGTATAGACTTACAATAAAGAGAAAAAAATCCTAAGTGGATCATCATAAAGGTCTTCAATCTTTGTCTTCACTTAGAGTAGGCTGAGGGAGGTGGAGGGTGAGGAGTGCAAGATTCTTATATCTGCCTCCACATCGTGAGTATAAGAGAGCGCTCATGGTTCAAACTCATGTTGTTTAAGGCTCAACTGTGTATAAATTAGCTTTTATGGTAAGATATATGTATATGGCATAATGTGAATAAATATAAACTATGAAGTGCTGCCTTGCATTCTAGAAGCCTAAATCTCTTATTATTTCTACTTGACCAGAAGATGTGTACGTGTGAACATGCATTGTCCCTGTTTATTTGTTGTCATGGAAGTAATTTAGGAAAAAATACACAGGAAATATATTTTTCTGAGAAGGTCATTAGGTAACCATTGGAAGATATTAGTCTTATCTTTTTTTTTTTTTAAAGATTTATTTATTTATTTATACCAGCACTGGGTATAGTCAGAAGTGGGGGAGGGTGAGAGAATTCACCAGAGCCAGAGGGGAGAGCAGAGCAGACAGAGTGATGAAGTACACTGCTGAGGGGAGCAGCAGGCGGCAGGAGAGGTCTGCGCGCCATGTGGGACCCTCGCCCAGTGGCCAGGAATCGAACCAGCGCTGCAGAGGCTGCGGGCAGCTTTGCAACCCAACGCTCAACCGCTGCGCCACTGGGGAGGCCCCTATTAGTCTTATCTTAAAAGCTTGCTAGAGTAACTGTGACCATTAATCCACTGGACCAGAAAAATATATCTAAAGTGGTGGTGAGCAGGAAAAAAAATGTAGCATGAGGCATAGCTTACTAATTATATGTTGTCTGGTGCTCTGAAAGCCTTAATTAGAAAGAAAAGGAAAAGATGTGCTCATTATTACAACTACAAGTTCAGCATTTATGGCATGTCATTATAACAGATCATCAGGCTCTCTGACCCACCCTAAAAACTGAAGAAAAAACACTAGTTTTGGGCTTGTTGAAATTCAGGTTCTTGACTTCAGTGTTTATCTTAATCTGCTTTGGTGTGTTCTTTTTTTCTTGCTATGACAATAGTGATAGGACTTGAAACCACTAGGAGATTTTAATTTTTGATTTTTAAACAAAGCAGACTTTGGACTTCAGATGTCCTTATATTGTGAATTAACTGACTTATTTATGTGGCACCTAATAATAGTGTTATGTGTTGCTGATACATTTGATGACATTTTGAATGGAGGCAAATGAGAAAATGGTATGGTACCAAGCATTTATTAAGTAACTTTTCTGTGGGACTGAGTGTTCACTAGTAAAGTGACTGACTTGTGTCAGTATGGCTACACTGCACTTTGGCATCAGTCCCTGTAATCTGAAGGTGGATTGCGCTGTGATTTTAAAATGCCTTTAGAATAAGTATTGTTAGGTAATGTAATCGCTTACATTCTGTCGTTGTGAGATTTTGATAAGGAAAAGTCTTTATTTTTCACTTTTACCTAAGGATCTGTTATATGTTCTATTTCTGCCTGTTCTTCCTTTGTGGGAAGGCTATGCCTGTTTGTTTGTATATTTTATATTTCTGATTTAACTGTTTGCTGTTTGTATTAACAAGGTAGCATATTTAACCCATTTCTGTAGTATTGCATATTTAAATTCCATGTGCCAAAGACATCAGCATGTGAAGGCATGAAATATTTTACTCCTTTTTTTCCTTTTAGCACAGCATTCTGAAATTTTTTGGCCATTGCAATGATCTTGACCGGGAGATGAGAAAATGCTTGAAGAAAGAGGTAAGAAAAGTGTCAAAAAGTGGAAGTGGTGAAACAATGCAAAGGAACATTTCGAACAATATTACTGCTGTTACTAAATTTTCCTCCAGATTTTGGTATAACAGAGAAAATTAACTTTAAATGTATGTTTTTTCCTAAAACCAAGAGGAGAAATGAAAGCCTCTATTAGGTACAGTTTTAGAACATACGTGTGCACAAATGAAAACAACTTCCTTATTGTAATCACTGTAATTCTCTGGATGAGTTTCAAGGTTTGGGAAATTTAATCTTTCAGCAGAAAGACATGTCAATCAGCTCTTAGTTATTGCAGCTAACTAAAACTCGTAGGCCTCAATTTCCTTCTGTAACATGGGGCAACTAGATTTAGGCACTTTCCAGCTTTAAGATTTTGAATTTCATTTATAATTATGGTATGTGCAAACTATACGGTTCTAGTTTGACTTGTTTGGAAAACTTCGTACTGGAACCCAGTTTTAGGCTGTGACTTGAACTTGGGCACATAACACATCACCAGCCCAGTGAGGCCTGGTTCATTATTGTTTTTTTTATAAGTATTGCTAACCAAGCAAAGAATGTTTTAAATCTTTGAATAAAAATTTAATTCTATTTCTATTTTGTACATCAGATGTTTTTTTGTCCTGAATCTTTATATGATAAAAATTTGCTTTCCAATTTTCATTTTCTGTATTTTTGAAATTTTTTACCTGTTAGCCTCATTGAAAGGTATTAGACATAATATTTGAAGCTGCTCAGCATATCTATCTTTATATTTTTGCATATTCCATTTTCCTGTCCTTTTTTGCTTTCTGGACTCTCTTTCCAGGGTCTTTACCTTTTGAAGAACTTTCTGGTGTTCTGAATTTAGAGTGGTAATTTTGTTTGTATACACAAATGTATACATGTATTAGTGTTTTGAAAAGTTTTCCTTCGTATGTGTAAAGACTAGTTTATACAGAAACTAAATGTAGGGCTGTTTTGTAAGATTATGGGAAAATAGTTATATGTTACTTAGTGACATTTCAGTCAATGAAGAACCACAAGTACAGTGGTGGTCCCAAAAGGCTGTACAATACAGCCTCAGTGTGTCATAGGTTATACGGTCTAGGTTTGTGGAATTACATTTTGTGATTTTCACACAATGATGTTGTTTAAGGACACATTTCTTTGAACGTGTCCCTGTCCTTAAGCGATGAAGGACTATCAAGTCTGCAAACTATTTTATTCTGTATGGCTGTTTGTTACATGTTTTCAGTTGTGCAATGTAGCTTTTTCCCCCATTAGTTTTTTTTTCTCCTAACAGTTCTATAATTTTGCTGTTTATTAGATCTTCATATGACATTTCCTTCTCAATGTTAGGCACTGTTTGGTAGAATAATGTAGATATTTTTCATATTTTGTTTGTTTGGGTTTGTTTTTATATAAATTTTAGATTTTCTCCTTGGCTTATTTTCTAAGTCCTCTATGTACTTTCTATGTTGCTTGGTTGCCTGATATATAGATGTTATCTGCCTGTTCTTTCATCCTCCTAGCCTCTGAATCTGTGCTCATTTACTTTCTTTGCTTTTAATGCTTTCTAGTTTACCATTTTTGCGTCTAATGTTTTCCTGCTACCGTTTCCTTCATGTGTCATTTGAGTACTTTATTCCTTGAGTTTTTTAATAGTAAAAGGGTCTGGCCAGTTTTTTCTAAGTCTGTCTTTGCTGCAGTGTTGCTACTTTTGTTCATTTTATTGACAAAATCACTAATACTGCTTTGGTGTCATCTTCTTTTATCCTTAATTTTTTTTTTTGTTTGTTTAGTTTGGTTTTTGGTTAATTGGCCTTCCATTCTATTTGTGTTATTTGGTAGAATTTTGTGAGTATCACCATATTCATTCTTTTTTTCTTTTATTCAGGTATCCTTTGAAGATATCTTAACATATATTTCAATATAGACTGTGTTTTGCTTAGCACAATTACTTCTTTATTGGCCAGCTACAAAGTATTATCTTTTCCCTTTAAGAACCTTCTCCCAACTTGATTGCTGGGGACACTCCATTATATGTAATTAAAGACAGATTATTTATTTTCTTCAGTGCAGGTATTCCTCCATGTTCTGAAAATTTTTACAAACTTTTAAGCAATGAAATATCCTTTTCCCCCCAGTAGTATTATGAGTGAAATTAATATATGATAAGTAAAAGAATTGATTTTGATGAAAGGAACCTATAATTTGAAGTGGCTCTTTAATGAGAAAGAAAAAGTTTGAAATTAGCATTCCAGATTATATGTCAAAACTCCTTTATTTATAACTTTAGACCTAGAAAACATACTAAAGATTATCAAGGCTAACCTATTATATTTGAGGTTACTGGCCCACAAGATCAGATACATCAGAGTCATAAGCCTCCCATCATTATCTCAGGGGTTGGGGAAAGGGATGCCATCAAGTCCCTGGTTAACCATCTATCTTTATAGCTCCATCAATCATCTGTCTGTCTATCAGTAATCTTTGTTTCTGTGGCCTTTTTCCGTATCTCTGGCTCCTGAAAGATTTCGATGTCCAGCTGTTCATATATACTCAGTTTTTTCAACTTTGCTTCCTGCCCCTCCTACCTCTTGACCCTTTATTCACCTTTAAAATATGTCTGTAAGCATGTAAATACAGACATATAAAGACACTTAAATTCAAGTTTCTCTGCTTTAAAAGTGTGCTTTTTCTAAGTGTCAGTCTCTTAGGCTTCCTATTTTAACCTACTGGCTACATCAAAATACTAGGCTGAAAACCTCTGTAGTAGAGAGTGCATTTAGATCCAACATAGGATTTGGGGAGAATCAGGTTTGATGACTATTCATGATGAAAGGATCCTGAAAGTTTAGCAGACTTTTAAGTTTCCAAATGAAACAGTATGCTTAAGGGCCAGTTACTCTTTTGGTAATATTTACAGAAATTGAATGTGTTTAGGTTGTCAGAACTAATAGGCACACTGTAGTCCATGTCTGTCAGACTCTCCTTTTTAATTTTGGTTTGGTATTTTTTTATAAGGGGTATTTGTATTAAAGTGCTTCATAGATAGATACTAGAAGGCAGAAGCCATAGATGTTAGGAACCAGTAATATTCAGCCTGAGTAGATATCGGTTATCTGAAATCAGATATTTGGCTATAGCAGGGGAGCAAAAAAGTACAGGGCAATAGGAGAATTTGAAGGGAAACACTTAATGGTGTAACATAAAAAGCTTTGGGACGAGTAGAAGTGTCTGGCTATTTCTCAAGGTAGTCAATATCTCATAACTAGAAATGTTCAAGCAGAGATTAGATGATTTACTAGATTGTGAACTGCTGGAGAACAGGGACAAAACTCATCCATATCCTTCATCTATTGGAAGGAAATTCATATATTGGGAGGAAATTAATTCAGCAAAAATTTCATTATTTGTATATGTGTTAAGATGTTGGTGCAATACTACACTGAATAAAATTATTGTAGTCTCCGGGGTGACTGTTTTCAGTCTCAGAATCATTGAAATAAAAGACAAAAATTTTGTCAGTAAAAGCAATATTTGCAAATGTTTTTAAACATTTAATACAAATGGTGACATAATCTACTGTCTCTTTTCTACCCCCTTTCTTTTATTTTCCAGTACATGGAAAAGAGGACCAAGAGCAGGGAGCGTGGCAATGCAATGCGAAAGAGAATTTTTAATCCTGCAGAGGAATCTGAAAAATAAGATTATATTTTCATTGGATACCTAAGAGAAGATCTAAAGACTCTTACTTGATAGCTGAAAGAATCCTATCTCCAGAATCCTCTGAATGGAAAGTGACCCATGTGAAATCAAGCCATGGAGGAGTTCAGAAAGTCTGGGTTCTCAGTATTCATGGGGCAGCAAATCTAACTTCTAACATGTTTCTTTCTACTGCCTACAACTAGATAACATTCAAGTAATTTATCTTCCTTAATAAAATAATTGGCTTTAACCATATTTTCTCAGTTCTCTTAGATTCTCCTGGGATTAGGGAAAAATGACCCCATTAGAGGTTCCTTTTTTTTTGACAGTGTGGCATGTCTGGGACTTATACAGACACAAGCAAAAAGAGTTTGGCAAAAAGAGTTTGGGAGAATTTGAATTATGTTAACTATGTTAAAAATCTTACAAATTTAGTTGTTTTTTAACAACTGTTTTCTAAAGGTTCTGTGTTTAACATTGATAAAAATGTATCTGGTTAGAATTTAAGTCTCAGCCGATTTTACTTCCTTGTTTGGTTGAATGTGCCTGCCCTGGGTGCTAGTTAACACCTGGGCATTAACCCTAAACCATTATGTCTCCTTTCCTGGGTAGAGGGCTCTGCTTTCCAGGCTCATTTCTAGCTGTCACCCCACTGGTGTTCCTTCTGCCAGGTGTTCCTGAGACCTGTGACAGTCTAAATTCAGCAGCTTCCAGCCATGGCCACAGCAGGGGCTTGATCTTGTCAGAGAAGGTGTCAACAGGCTGTGAGCTGCTTCTGGTGAATTCTGTGTATATGTGCCACATGAGGCCTTGTTGGTGTTAGTGTTTAATAAGTGGTTTTCCTGTCACAGGAGGTACCATTTTAAGATGTTGGACACTCATTTAGCAAGGTGGCTACACAGGATAAGAGACATTTGATGAAGGGGGTGGAGGAAGAAGTAGACTTAATGCTGAGATCCCTTTCAAAGTTGAGATTTATGAGTGTCTGTTTTCCCCACAGGGTTCTCCCTCCCCCCATTGTGTGTCAGCTACAGAAATAAGACATTTTTACCTTTTTTTTTTTTTAAAGATTTATTTATTTAATTATACAAGCACTGGGTACAATCAGAAGCGCGGGAGGGTGAGAGAATTCACCAGAGCCAGAGCAGGGAGCAGAATAGGCAGACTGACGAAGTACACTGCTGAGGGGAACGGCAGGCGTGACAGGAGAGGTCTGCGTGCCATGTGGGACCCTTGCCGGGGGCTGGGGATCGAACCGGCGCTGCAGAGGCTGCGGGCAGCTTTGCAGCCCAGCGCTCAACTGCTGCGCCACCGGGGAGGCCCAAGACATTTTTACTTTTGAAGCTTGTAGTAAACTGACATGTTGACTATTGTAGTAGAGTAGTTAGTGCCAGAAAGGTAGGTGTCATAAAATATAGAAATGGGGTCTATGCCCAACCTTCAGGAAAGCCTCCCAGGAAAGCCTCCCAAGTAATCCATTTAACAAAGGTAACCTTTGACAAGCAGAATGAAAATGTAATATATTCTGGGAACCAAGTCATTTGTGTGACTGGAATACAAGAGTTACTGGTGGAGGAAGTTCAGAAATCTCTTTGAATTCTATTGGAATTTCAGTGCAGTTGTGATCAGTTGCCAAATTTTCACACAGCAATTAGGAATTTGAGGAGGCAGCTTAGTTGGGAGGGTGATTTGTTTCAATTTGTATTTTACTTAGATTTTTCGGTTTTCATTTGGGAGATAAATTGGAAGAGAAGGGACACTATACTCTGGGAGCTCAATTAGATTTTTACCTTAACTTAGGTAAGAACTGAGAACCTGTAGTGTGGAGATGGCTTTCGGGCCTCTTGAGTATTCAGCTCTGGAGTTTTCAGTAGCCTGGACTTTGCCTAAACTGGAATAGAATCGAGACATAGAAGCAGGCAGATAGATGGTTGCTTAAGTCCTGTGGACTGATGTCGATAGTGGACTGTAAGTTGTTTATAAAGCCAAATGAGATTTGAGGGGTGAGGGGGGTCATTTCATTTTTAAAAATGGTATAAGTAGGAAACTTTTATGAAACATTAAAACAATTTATAAGTTTTATGGAGTAAAAGGTTAATATCTTAATTTATACTCCAATAACATTTGACTCTCCAATAGTATTTATAATTGACAGTTGGGTTAGTCTTCTATACATTTACATAAATATTTCAATATAGGATAGGGAGCCCCATATTTGGAGAAGGAACAGGCACAGAGTAAGAAGGCAAACCACAGAGAATAGTCCATAGATGATGTCAAGGGGGCTACTGAGGAGGGGTTGTCATTGGATCAAAGTAAGGAATGAGGGGCCAGTTGGATTTGGTCCCTGCCTTCTGTGGTGAGGTGGTGGATGAGTTTGGAACTGAGGATATAAGCACATTTGAAAAGGTTTGGCTCTAAAGGGAAAGACATTGTCAGCTTGAGAGAGTCTTCTTGCAATATCAAAAAATAGAAGAAAAGGCCCTCTTGGGAAGGGGATTATAATGAATTAAATACCAGAAATGAGGGAGGCATTAATTGTAGAGTGAAGTGTTTGAGGATGCAAGAATGGAAGAGATTCAGGACTCAGGTTGACAGTGATACAATTTTTCCCGAAAACAAAGTAGAAGCTTGAAACACTATAGGAAAAGTAAGGTATTCCATTCGGAGAGAACTAAATATGTGTTTGTGCAGTATGCCATGTTTCTTCTACAGAGAATTAAGAGCACATGCTCAGTGTGTCTGAGGTAAAAAATCTCAGACATACTAATATGGTCACCAATAACCAGTAATAGGTAGAGGAACATTTAATAATTAGCTCTCAAAAAAAAAATCCACTAGTTTATAGCATTTATCATTTTCTGTGGTGTAAATACTGCTGTGTCAGATTGCAGTTTACCAAATTGATAACAATGGATGTGAAGTTGACGAGGTGCCTGGCCTCTCCTGAGCTGACTCCAGTCCTCCACACATGGCACTTTGTTGAAGGAATTGCAGAGAATCATTGGGTAAATAGATTGCCTTTCCCACCTCTAGCATTTTTGTAAGTTGGAAGTAAATATATCTTGTCCCCGATTTTACTACCAAATGATTAAGTTACAAAACAGACTGCTAAGTATATCACTGGTGTAATAAAAATTGTATGTGTCCAATAAGAGTTGTGAAAGAAAAAAACAACAAAAATAAAATAGAACAAGAAGGAAAGTATTCTAAGATGCTGTGATTTCTGTGACAAGGCAGCTGTAGTCCAGGACTACCGAAGATGAGGATCTCCAGGGGTGTGTCATCCTGTAGGAGAGTGAATAACTGAATGCTGATGGATTTAGGAAGGACAGGACACCTCTGTGCCCTGATTGATGCTTGGGTTTGTGCCCCGGGGCCTCCAACCTCAACTCTTCTTAATCAGGTTGCCTGGGTAGTCGTCTCAAGGATGACTGGCATTGGATGTTAGGAGGCTGTTACCTTCTGTGTGCCTGCCTTGATGGGTTTTGCAGCCTTTGGATTTCTTTCCTTTCCTTTTTTTTTTTTTTTTTTTTTTTGGTTTTAACTCTTACACTTTAAATGAAGTGGTTGGACTAGCTTACTGTGTTGTTTGCCGTTGAATCCTTACTATCTGCCTAAAAAGTAAATAATTAATAAGAGGATAACTCTTGTTATGAGAAGTTCTGTGACTCTGAGGGCAGTTTAGCCTGGGTCTTGTAGTTTGTTTTGTGTTCATGTTTTCTCTTTTAAGTTCCATCCCATCTGGGGCCTCCCTGGTGATGCAGGAGTTAAGAGACAGAAAACACGGTGAAGTTGGTCCAGGTGAGCAAGGGAAAGAAGATGAGGGGAGAAAGATGGCAGGGGCCAGCTTCACACAGGTCTTGGGCCCCTGCCATCCTGGGAACCTCAGGATTTTAGTGAGAACTTGGATTTTATAAAGGTCTCTCTGGCTGCTGGGTAAAGAATGGTTATGGTTAAACTAATTTAACTTAAATTTAATTAAAAATTTTTAAGCATCAGTTCCAAATCTACGAGGGAAAATATTAGTACATTTTGCATAGGATTACTATGAGGATTAGTTGAGATAATGTAAAGCTTTTAGCAAAATATCTGCCACAAATGGCCCACTGAATATTGTTCTTCATAAGTGTTTCTAGAGTGGAATGTTGGAAACACTTCCCCTGCTCTTTGGTAAAATTTACTAAGTCACTTGGGGTGATTGTATTTGGACAGGGCCCCAGCAGACAGGCGGGGATCAAAGGATGAGGTGAGGAGCTTGTTAGGAAGCAGAAAGCAAGGCCAGATTAATACTGGTCCATAGAAACCCATCCCAAACTGTCTTTGCCCCATCCCCTCGCTCCCCTCTTCCTGTGTGGATCTCTTTATAAAGTTACATGACCCAGGGCTGGGCTGTCTGCATCTCCTGGTGTTACTGAAGTTTCTGGGTTTGGTCATGTCTCCAGTCTCTGCTCTTTTCCCTAGCCCTCTGTGGCTGAGGATTTGTTTACAGTAGTCTTTAAATTTTCTTTTGCATGATGGCATAGTTGCAATGACTCGCTGGCAATCTAAGGCTGTTTTTATTAGGTGCTTTTGAAATTGCTGTTGGTATTGTAGGCCAGAAAGTCCTCACTGACCCAGAAGTTACACTAATGAAAGGAAATCAAGATGGATGTGTTGGTACCATTCAAAGTGGCTCTAAGCAATCCATATCCTCTAAGGGGATCCAGAGGCTAAAATACCTTAGAAAAATTAAATGGCACTTGTAACATACTCCTAGCAAAATACTGGTTCTTTACACTTCTACTTCCTGAGTCAGTGTTGGAGGAGTAACCTCTGAGCCAAGATGGCATTTTACAATATCAGGTCTAATCACGTCATTGTTCCAGATCAGGTGCTCTGTTACGTTTTTAGAAGTTGTTTTTGGTGTATAAAAATCCACCAAAAATACTCTTCTACTGTGCAGATCTTTTTTTTTTTTTTAAAGATTTATTTATTTATGCATACAAGATCTAGGGTACAGGCCAGAGGTGGGGCGGTGGGTGAGAGGATTCACCAGAGACAAGAGTAGGGAGCAGAACAGGCAGATGTACTGAAATACACTGCTGAGGGGAGCAGCGGGCGAGACAGAAGAAGTCTGCTGTGCCATGTGGGTAGCTCCCTGGCTGGGGATCGAACTCATGCTGCAGAGGCTGTGGACAGCTTCACAGTGCTGTGTTAACCCCTTGTGCCACT